ATATTATATTTAAGAAAATTGAAATTTAAGTCAGTTTTAAGAGTTTGTATTATTTCTACATTTTTTTGCATCGAAGGTTTTTAGTCATCATTGTTCTGGCCACTGAAAGTGGGAGTGAACTTTGTCTTCGGGTGTGTTTTAGTTTCTTTTTCCACTCAAAATCAGCTATGCTAAATAATCATTGAAAGGAGTTGATTGATTAAGCAAATTATAGCCATTTTAAGTCATGATTGGATTGACATTGAAACACTTTTTGAAAAGGTTTTCCCAGTGTCGAGAAAAACTGGTTTGAAAATTTCGAGTAGTTTAATTTCGAGCGAGTAAAGAAAGCAAGCTGGTAGGTACTATATGAGGCTTATAGTAAAAAAGTTCTTTTATTTACCCTTGCGACAAGCAACGGCGTTGAAACCGGTTACTAGACTATTTGTAAACAAGTAACATCATTAGTGTAGTGGTTGCGTGCTAGGTATGGTTCTTGGTTGCCTGTTAAAAGATTTCCGAGTATTTTTTTTCTGTGCTTTAGTTTTAGGTGCTGAAGGGTTGGCTTTAATTCTGTCAGCTTTTTTCCGATTGTTGTTTTTCTATTAGTTATATTATTATACTTACGAAAGCATGTGTCTTTTAATCAGGAACTAGACTTTTTTTGCTTGTAAACAACTTTTCTTACAAATTTTCAACTTCTTTAATAATGAATCTTAGCAACTTGAAGTTTCATTCGCTCTCGACTAGAGATAACGCTGTCGCCTTTGCATCCTGCGGTCTGGGGTTCGTATCTCGGCCGGAGCTTGTGTTTTTCAGTATGTATGCAATTGAAATTTTTTTTTCCTGTAAAAATTGATTTGTTGGACTTCAGTTTTTCTGTTCATGTTGTTTCGACTTAGTTGCCTTATCACGGATTTTTGTTGCGCTGTAATTGTTCATGGAGGACTTGAGGCTTTTTAAAGGTTTTTATAAAATCAATTTTTCTACTGGCGCCTAACTAATTTTAAGCTCATTTATTTTAATTGTAGTAGAGAAACAACTAAGGTTTTGGACGAAGCTCAATTTTTGAGTTTACATTTTTTGTCTCGTGTCAGTATAACAATATCAGTTAAATCGATTACCTCCTGCCAGCTTTAGCAGTTTCAATCAATAGCATCTTTTTAGCATCAGTAGCTTCAATGGGTTAAAACAGTTAACAAATAACTCAGTTTTCCTTTGTTTTTTTGTTTAAATTACAAAAATAAAAACAATTTCGGGACCAGCTAATATTGATCCGTTCCTGGGCTTAATCTTTTTTTTAAAGTACTTCATTGGTACTTATTTTTTACCCTTGCCATACGCAAGGGTATTGCAATCGGATACGAGTGTTTTTTCCCGTAAATAACTTTGTTCACAGAATGGTCAAAAGTAGAAATGGTAAATTTTGGTTCAGTTCATAATAAATTAGCTTTTTTGCGTCTCCGGTGAACTTGGTTTCAGGTAACGAATACGACTGGGGACGCAAAGGTCCTGGGTATGAATCTGACAGGACCTGTTTTCTTTTCAAACTGATGTATTCCGTTTCAAAAAAGTGTCGGTCCATTGTTTGTCTGCTTATGTTTTGTCGGCTTTGTTGCCACATCGTAGAAAGTTTTTTTTGTGAGCATTTAACCTTGTAGTTGATTTTAGTGTTTTGATTTTTTCTGCTGTTTGTAATTTTACAAACCTTGACTTCCTATATATTTTTTTAAGCGCTTAAAAACTTTATTCTGCTCAAATGATTTCGGCTTATTTTTTATCGGCTTACTTTCTTATTTTTGAGTTGGCACTGGAAACCCAGTTTTTTCACGCCCCACTAGGTTGCACAAAATGCTAAAAAATTTTAATAGAAATTATAGATTTTCATGACCCCTTTTTGGTGTTTTTTTTTCGTTTTTTTTTCTGCTTGAAAGGTTTCGGTTTAACAGCCTCATATTGCGTCGTTCGTCAAGCAAAAAAGTTTGTTTGTTTTTGTGTGTGCGTTTCGCGCCTGAGGCTTTTGTTTTTTTTTCTTGTATGTGTGCGCGTGCGTGTGTGTGTATTTGTGTGTGCGTTTCGCGCCTGAGGCTTTTGTTTTTTTTCTTGTATGTGTGTGCGTGCGTGTGTGCGTATTTGTGTGTGCGTTTCGAGCCTGAGGCTTTTGTTTTTTTTTCCTTTTTCGGCTTAATAGTTTTCTGCCTATATTATATCAGCTTAGTGGCCTCATATTGTTTCATATGACGAGCAAATGTGCGTTTGTGTTTTGAGGGCGAGGGGGATTTATTAACTTTTTATAAATCTGAATTTTTGTTGATCTTTTTTTTTGGCTTAAAGGGTTCCTGCTAAGGTGTTTTCGGCTTTGTTAGCGCTTGGTATTTTTTTTTCACTGATAAGTTCACTTTCTATTGTTTTGTCGTTTTTTTCCAATCTAGGGTTATTCATTTTGATAGATATAGTTTTTTCGACATTTTCGAGTGTTTTTCCGACTTTTGGGTTTCTTTTTTTTTGGGTGGAAATTTAAACCGGCGTTTGTTTATCGAATTCATAACTTTTCAATGTTCTCAGCGGGTGTTCATTTCTTTTGATTTTTTTTGTTTGAGCAGTTTTTTTTTACTGAAAGAAGGACTAATAATTATGAATTTTTTGAATTCATTCGTTATTATCGTGGATTTTTTAATGATTTTTCCACGTTAAATTTTGTGTTTGGCTGGTTAAATTTGTTGTGCTTCTTAAAAAATGAAAGAAAGTATTCGGCATTGATTATCCTTGCGATAAGCAAGGTTATTTCTATCGGGTACTAGACTTTTTCCGTAAACAAATTTGTCCACAGGTTGACTGATATTTGGTCATCTCCAAATGTATCTCTATTTTCTATTTCTACTCAAGATACACGTCTAACAGCTGTATTTCAAAAGCTGGCTTCAACTTCTAAAGTGATCATTGTTTTACAGCTGAAAAAGATTCTTAGATGTAAGTTTGTTTTTTTGTCGGCTTTATTGATTTCGACCCAATTTTTGTCGGCTTACTTGCCGTGTAGTTAATTCTGTATTTTTTTGATCGGTTTTTCAATTATTTTTTTTTCTTCATTATCATGAAGGTAAATGTAGTTCATGGTTTTCTGGTTTTTATAGGCGCCAAAATGTTCTGTTTGAAATAAAACTTTTTTTGAATCTTTCTGCTGGAACTTTGTTTTGCATTTTTTTTTTCGGATGCATGGTTTCTGATTTTTTTTTATTTCTAAAAGTGCGTGAAACTAGTTTAAGTTTTAATTAGTTTAGTATGTTTTAAAGTAGTAAATTTGATTTGAAATCGATTCAAGTTGGTTCAACTTGTCAAAAAAAAGTAAAATATCCGGATTTTTTTTGTCTTCAAAGGAATGTGGCGACAAGTTCTGCACGAGATTTAGGCGTGTGGTTCTTTCTGGCTTAAATTTTTGAATTTTTTTTTAATTCCACTTTGTTTTGTTATGATCTATCTCTTATACCGTTGCGGATAAATTTCATAACTGTTAATTCTTGATTTTATTGCTTTATTTTCATAGTTTTTAAAGAGTTTTTTCAGATTTTCTGCAAGATCTTTTTTGTGTCAATTGTTTGTAATTTTTGCATTCATGTGTTTGAAATGTTGTTTTTGATTTTTTTTTTCATTTTCGTCTTATACAATAGCGGATAGGGCCTTTATCCCCGATTGTTCTTATTGTATACGCAGGTTGTTTGGTTGCAAGATTTCATGAACAGTTTTTGAGTAAATTTAGGAATTATCGTATCTCAGTTTTTTGATCGAATTGTTTTTTTTTTCATCGTTTTTATCTATTGGTTATCAGAAAGAAATGGATGGAGTTCAGCCCAAATCCTTCTTTTGTTTTGCAGTTAATTGACTTCTATAACAATTGCATTTTTAAAATTATTTTGTTATCTTTGAGCCTAAGTTTTCTTCAACAAAATTCATTCATCTTTTCCAATTTTCGTTTAAGACACTATCTTTTTATTTTTGGAAGTTTATTGTGTATCGCAAGTGGTGCAAAGCTCAGCTTCGCTCTGTATAAATTGTTTTATACATCTTTCATTTTGTTGCCTGTATAATTTTGCAACTTTCTTTCTCCAATTTTTGAAAACAACGCAAATGCATGTCTTAGGTCTTCCCCCACCATATTTAGACAAAAAAAAACCAATTTATAAACTAATTGGTTTTTCAGTCTAAATATGGTGGGGAAAGACCTATGACATGCATTTTTGTTGTTCTCAAAATAAGAAAACAACGAAATACATTTTACTTGCTTGATTCCCAATTGCTATGCGCATTTTAGCGCATTATTCAGAATGTTTGTAATTCACTTATTTTTGTGTTTTTGTCCGTTTTTTTTCTTTGTTTTTTAAGCTTTTGTTTTTAAGTTTTTTAAGCGTCTGGTCTAAGTGAAGGACTAAGCCTGGGATGGCAAAGGTCCTAGGTTCGAATATGGTCAGGCGCTGCTTTTTTCAGACGGTAGTAATGTTTTACAGGATTATGTTTTGTCGGCTTTTTTGCCTCATCGTAAAGAAGTTTTTTTTTGCTGTACGCATGTTACATTAGATGTTTTTTTTTGTGTTTTGATTTTTTCGGCTATTTATAGTTTTACTAACCTTGATTTCGTATATTTTTTTGTTTTTTTTTTGCTCAAAAACTCTATTCTGCCCAAATGATTTCGGCTTTTTTTTTATCAACTCAGTTGCATGATTTTGCGTCGCTCAAATGAAAAACTCTTATTTCAAAAAATGTTTCTGTGTTTCCGGAGGATGGTAAAAGTGAAAATTAAACTTTATGAGCTTCCGAATTTTCCGTGTCAGAAATTTTGCTTTCGGCTTAACGGTAGTTCGCCACTTTTTTTTAGTGTCGAACAGCATTTCAGGCAAAAGATGGATATTTCTTGTGGTTTTTTCGATTTGTGTTTTGATTTGGTAGCCTGAAATGCTGTGTTTGTTCTATTCGATTATATGGAATGCAAATTTTGGTGGAACTTATTGATTGAACTGAAGCTTTTACAGGTTTTGCAAGAGTCTTCCCAAATTGTCAGTTTAATCCACTCCTTTTTAAACGACAACACCAACTCGGAGACGTTTCGAGCACTCGCCGAGCACTTTGAGAACATCACGAGCAACTCCGACGACAAGGCTGCAAAGTATACTATCAAGAATTACGGATTGGACGATCAAGACGGTTTCAAGTAGGTTTCAATCTAGTTTGACTTGTTTGATGATTGGCTTTTTTTTTGCATATTTTCAGTTATTGAAGCTTATTATATATTAATGAATGACATCAATTTAGTATAAGGCCTAGTCTTCAAGGGGCTATCGAGCGCAACGTTTAAAAAGGCTTAGATCAGCACGTCTAAGAATCATTCAGAGCGACCATCGAATATTCTAAATTCTGGAAAACAATAGTAATTCTTGGTATAAAATTAACTCGATTCAACTTCAAGGCTAGATAGTTCCTGCCAAATTTTTGCCAAAAGTTTTGCGTTAACAGAATAATTTCAGTATAAAACGAATCAACTAAAAACAGCAGCGTCCATCATTGGATTTTCGCTATGAAATAAATTGAATCATTTCAAAATTTCATCACTTGAATAGCTTGTTTTATTTTTTGCAATGAAATAACTTGAAAGGTTATAAGTTTCATCGCTTGAATAGCTTGCTTAGAAAAATTCAAAATTTTTTGAAACGATTCAGGCTATGAAATAAATTGAATAATTTTACCGCTCGAATGGCCTCAATAGAAAAACTTCAGTTTTTCACCTACCGAATTGTTTCATGAAATGACTTGAAATAATAAACTTATAGTTGGAATAGCTTGCTAAGAAAAACTTGAACTTTTCGCGAAATGATTTGCTCTATGAAACAAATTGAAATATTTCAATGTTTGATTGCTTGAATAGCTTGCATTGGAAAACTTGAACATTTTACAAACCAACTTGCTCCATAAACAATTTTGCAAACCGATTCGCCCGACGAAATAACTTGAAATTTTTCAATGATTCATTGGTTGAATTGCTGGCATAGGAAAAGTGTAACAGTTGTTATAATGATTCGTTTAAGAAACAACTTGAAATTTGTTGAACTTTCATCGCTTGAAATGTTTCAATGGAAAATCGTTAACTTTGCGCCATCCGATTTGCTTCATGAAATTTGTTCGAAATATTTCAAGGCTTAGAAAAATGAGTAGCTTGGTCAAGAAAAATTTTCGCGAAATTATTCACTCTATGAGAAAACCCGAATTATTTCAAAGTTTCATGACTTCTAAAGCTTGGATGACTTCTAAAGAAAACAAACTTTTCGACGTCGGATTTGCTTCATGAAAATTTTGAAGTAATTCAAAGTTTTATAGCTTGAGAAGCGTGCTTCCAAAAAATGAATTGATTCGTTTTCAGGAATTGATTCGTTTTTTGAAAGAGGTTGAAATTTTGAAATACTTCGAATTTTTATCGTCGCTTGAATGATTTCAATAGTAAATTTAATCTTTTCGCTATCCAATTCAGGCCATGAAACATTTGAATTATTTCAAAGTTAATCCGCTTGAATAGCTTGCTTAGAAACACTTGAATTTTTCGCTAAACTCCTCGGTTTAGGAATCTTTTTGAAAAACTACAAAGTTTCATAGCTTGAATAGCGTGCTTCCAAAAAGTTGATTTGTTTCAGGAATACATTTCTTTGAATTAAATTGAAATATTTGAAATTTTCATTGTCGCTTGAGTGGCTTGAAAAGAAAAATTTCGCCAAACGATTTGCTCCGTTTAACAACTTGAATAGGTTTGAAAAACGTAAAATTTTGCGAACAGATTCGGTCTATAAAATTACTTGAAATATTCGATTTTTCACTCGCTTGATTAGCTTGCTTAGGAGAACTCAAAAACTTTTCGCGAAAAGATTCGGTCTCTGAAGATTCGGTGTATGAAATTTCTCGAAAAATTTCATAGCTGGATCGAATAGCTTGCTGAGAAAAATTTGATTATTTTGCGAGCCAATTCGCTCTATGAAGTAACTGGAAATTTTTCAAATGATCGAAGCTTTGAAATTGAAGTTATTTTAATAGTGAACCTTAGCAACTTTGAGACTGCGTCCCGACTGATCAGATCCACAACTTTTTTTTGCGAGACGATTGATTATTGGATACAGGCTTGCTAGTTGTAAATTAAGCAAGTGTCTTGTAATTGGGAACTAGATACTTTTCCCGCAAACAATTTTTCTTACATCTGACGATGAAATTAATGAGTTTGCACAACTTCGCAAACTCGCTTCCCTCTTGGCCTAAATGTAATTAAGTTGTCTCTTTGCCCTATGGTCTGGGATTCGAATCACGCCTGGACCTTGTTTTATTTTCACTGTGGATGAAATTTGTAATTTGTTTTGGGAAAAATTGAATTGTAAGACTTTTGTTTGTATGCTTAGATTTTTGTCGGCTTAGGTGCCAAATTGTGCAGTTTTTTGAGCGGTCAGCATTTTTTGTCGTAGATGCAAGTGTTTTTGATGTATTCTTGTATTTAATAAAATTAATAGCCCTGACTATGTATTTTTATTATAATATGTGGCAGATTCAATTTAAATAGCTGGATCGTTTATGTTATACTTCGAACAGCGTTTATTAGTTATTTCAAAGCCTTGTTTTTTGTCAAAAAATGTGTAGAATTTGATTTTTTTGATTAGCATTTCATCTAATAAGGTAATGTGTATGCAAAAGTTGTTTTAGTTGCATATCCTAGTGATTGAAAACGAACATATCACTGTTTTTGTTTCGCCTAAAAGATTCATTTGGCCTAAATGTTTTCTGTTTATGTTTTGTCTTCTCAGTTATCTTGATTTGTGTCGCTTCAAGGGTGAAAGTTGATTGAATCAGGTAGTTTGTCTTGCAGAAGTTCAAAGTCTTAAATCTTGATCGTTCGAGAATTTTTTGTCAACGTTTTTTGATGGCATTTTTTTTCGTTTTCGGCTGAATGCGCTACTTAGAGCGGCTGTTTTTTCTGCGAAACGATTGGTTTTTGGATACGGGTTTGCTAATTGTAAAATAAGCAAGTGTCTTGTAATCGGGGACAAGTTACTTTTCCCTCAAACTTTTTTTTCTTCTGACGATGAAAATAGTGAGCCTTAGCAACGTCAAGTTTGCTTCCCATGTAGCCTAAAGGTAACGAGGATTTTTCTGTACCCTAAGGTCTGGGATTCGAATTACGCCTGGACCTTGTTTTTTTACTGTGTGTATAAAAGTATTAAAATTTTTCGGGAAAAGTTGAAATGTGGGACTTTTGTTTGTCTGCTTAGATTTTGTCGGCTTACTCGCCAAATTGTGCAGTTTTTTGGAGCGGTCAGCAATTTTTGTCGTAGATGCAAGTGTTTTTGCTGTGTTCTTGTTAGGCTTGCTATATGCATGCGGTATCAAACTGGAATATATACTTTTTTTTCCAGGTTTACAACTAGTTAAACCAAATCAGTTTAATCACTTCTTTTCACTTCTATTCTCCTCCTTCCTCTTCTTACCTTCTCTTAACATGTTCCAGGTTGCTTCTCCAATGGCCTGGAGGTAAAGCAGTTGCCTTTGTACCCTAAGGTCTCGGGTTCGAGTCGTGGCCGGATCTTGTTTTTTGTTTCAGTATCAAGGAAATAGAAAAAAAAGTTCCGAGAAAAATGAATTGTTGGTTTTTCGTTTGCTCGCTCAGGTTTTGTCGGCTAAATTGTCACAAAGATTTATGCTTGTGCTGCAGAAAATTTTGCTTGAGCCTGTAAGTGAAAATGTTGTTCAATCTGTTTTCGAGGAGGGACTTGAAAGATTTAAAAAAAATTCAAAATACTTTTTTTTTTCGTTTCAGTTGGTGTCTGCTCAAAGATGGTCGGCTTAGTTGCCATATCACTGATTTTTCTTTCTGTAAGCTACTTTCATTATAGTTGCAAGTGCAAGTGTTTTTCATTCTAGTTTCAAGGGGGACTTAAAAGATTTTAAAAAATCAAAAAAAATTCTTTAAGTGGTTTCAGCTCAAAGATTTGTTGGCTTTGTTGCCACATAACTGATTTTTGTTGTGCTGTAAACAATCTTTATTGTAGTTGCAAGTGCAATTGTTGTCTATTGTTGTATTAGATGGGACTTTGTTGTTCAATCTAAATTCAAGATGGTTTCAAATGATTTTTTTTTAAATTTTCATAAAATATATACTTTTTGGTTTCAGTTGGTGTCTGCTCAAAGATGGTCGGCTTAGTTGTCACATCTCAGATTTTTCTTTTGCTGTAAGCAACTAGTTTTGTAGTTGCAATTGCTGTTCATTTTTGTTTTAAGGGGGACTTGAAAGATTTTTAAAAATCAAAAAAATCATATTTTTTTCGGCTCAACTTGTCTGCTCAAAGATCGTCGGCTTTGTTTCTTTTCGTAAATTTTGTTGCTTTCCGTTGTTGCTTATCTAAAACTCAAGTGTCTGGCATGTTTGCCTGGAATGGACTTCTATCGAGACATATGAAAGATTATATGACCTACTTGTTTTAAAAGCTTTCATTTTCGGCTGTTTTGTTTTTATTTTATGTTAGTGTTGTATCGCAATTAGTGCCAAGCTCCGCTTTGCCTCTGTGTAGTTTATGAAATTAATAGCCTTAACTATGTATAATTCAAAAATTGTTTTCTTGGTGATTTATTATAATAGGTGGCAGATTCAAGTTAAGTAGATGGATCGCTTTTTGTTGTACTTCGAACAGATTTTATCAATTATTTCAAATCCACGTTTTTTTCTCAAAAAAAGTAGAGCGAAACGAGTGTATTTGTACGAACCTTCTTTTTTTCCTAACTCGCAAAGATTGGTGTCACTTTTCGGGCACCTTTACAGCTTTTTCATAGGGTGTGCTTTGACATTCAAATAGCAAAAAGTTAACACAGTTGATGCATTTTTAGTTCATCAAATGAGCCGAAAAAAGTGATTTGTTTCAAATAACAATGAAAACTCGATTTCAGAAATTTTCTAACTTATCTCGCAATTTTTAAAACGCATAATTTATACATACTGTTGCTTTATGCTTTGCAATTTGTTAAATGCAAATAGTGTTGATGCCTTTAGTTTTTATACCTCAATTTACTACATGAAAAATGGTGTCTGTTTGTATTTGGTGCCACTTTTGCTACATTGCATTGGCAATTTATAAGCATATGTATCTGCTTTATTCGTGACTAGTGTTTGTCGGTTGTTAAGCTTGTAAGTGAATAGTGCGTGAGACTCAAAACCTCTTGATTGCAGTAGGTCGGAGATTCGAATCGTAAACGTAGCCGAGTTTATACTAATTCGAGGCTTATTTCTACTTTTTCTTATTTCTTTTGATAGAGCTGCGTTTCAGTCGTGTTCACGCAAGTGTTTGCGAAGTACAGCTTTGCCTCTGTGTTGAAAATGAAACGAATGTTTTATGCATAAGAGCTCTCAATTTTGATAGATGTTATACTCAAATACTGTTCATTCAAAATTACCACATATGAGTATTTGTTTCGCCTAAAAGATTCATTCGGCCTAAATGTTTTCGGCTTTTGTTTTATCGGCTTAGTTAATTTGATTTTGTTTCATCAAGGGCGAAAATTGATTGAATCAGGTTGTTTGTTTTGCAAAAGATCAAACTCTTAAATCTTAATCTCTCGAGAATTTTTTGTTTCAACTTTTTTGATGGCTTATTTTTTGTTTTCCGCTCAGCTGGCGTCTTACAGTGGCTGTTTTTGGGTTGAACGGACGCAATATAGGCTAAGTGCCCTCTCGTTAAAAATTTAAAGAATTATTTAATACTGTTTGTAATATTTTTCAACTATTTTTTGGATTTTTTTTTCTCAAATTATATTTTTTTTCCATTTTTTTGATTTCCGTCCTAATTTTATTCGCTATCTTGCAACCTTGTGCTTGTATCTGTGTCTTATTCTATCTCAATTCGGATTAGTGTCTTCCTCCGAAAGAAGGATTGAGTGAAGTTTTGAAATTGTATTTGGATGTGGTTTTCCCTTTTTTTTCTAATCATGCTACCAAAAAGGATCCGCGAAAGTCCTGATAGCAAAAATTAACTTCAGATGGGGCCAGGGGATATTCATTTGAAAGCGCTTGGAGTCAGAGTACGAGCTACATTAAGAAGATTTGAGAAACTGATTTTAAAAAGTATGTGCTAAATTTCTCTAAAGGCAACCGACTAGATTTTTCGGCCATCATGTTTAAGTCTGCTCTGCATAGGGTTTTGTTTTGAACGAAGCCACCCAATCGCGAATCCCTTCTCGCGAAATCTGATCTGAACAGCTAGCTCAGTGTGGTTATGCTGCATTGGGAGGGGGTACTCTGTTAAGACTCATGAATGTAAGGACTACTCTTCTATAGGTCTTGGTGATTTTTTGTTTTTTTTTCTCAGGAAAAAAAATATATTCACGCTCAAATTAGATTTTTCGCGGTTTGACTTTCGATTTCTTTTTCAGTTCAATTCTATGCTTTTGTTAAAAGGATGGTAAACTCCACTTACGAAAAGCAAAAGTGTAAAGGTCGCGAAAAACGTGATCGACTTCTAGTCTCGAAAATGGAATTTAATTTTCAGTTTTCCCAGCGGAGTAAAATATTTACCTATTGATCCAGTTTTTTTTTCAAATTGGATGAATTTTTTTAAGAGTATTGAATGTAGTGAGTACTCTTATATAAGTCTTGCCCTTTTTTTTCAGGAAAAAGTCTTAAAATTTGTTCACGCTCAGTTTTGTTTCTTCGCGGAGTGGTTTTTTTAAGCTCAGTTCATTTCCATAGTTAAAAGGAAGGCAAACTCCACTATCGAACAGCAAAAATGTTAAGGTCACGAAAAACATGATCGACTCCTGATTTCGAAAATTGAAATTAGTTATCAGATTTCCCAGTGAAATAAAAGTTTTACGCAATTATCAATTTTCTCATATTGGGTTAATTTTTTTTTAAAAATAAATGTCCATAATAAATTGTTCTACAAACTCAAAGAATTTTAAGGCCATCTTTCTTTTTCTTCAAAATTTAAAAGTTGAAGGCTCATGAAAAAACAAGTCAAGTTTTTTTTTCAGTTTCCTTGCGTTCATTACTCTTTTCCAACTGCTTGTTGGCTATTTTACAAAAATTGCCAATCAAAAGTTATTCTTGAAATTCAAGGTGCCTCAAGGCTATATATTTTTTTCTTTGAAATTGTAGCTGAGTATTTGTTGTATTTGAACTTTATTTTTAAAGAAGAAGTCAGTATTTTTTTCTATTGCCTTGCGTTCATGTCTCTTTCTCTTTTGCAACTGTGTGTTGGCTATGCTATGAGTTTTGAGTTTGTAGACGGAGGGAGCTAGAATGGCGCAGGTGGGCGGATGATACTCTGGTGCATGTGGTGGCTCCCAACATCTACCGCTCCCTCCCAGAGGCTCTCCACTCCTTCTCGGTGATCACGAGGAAGGGCAACTACGGCCACGATGCCACCTGGGCGCCCCTCTACTCCTTCATGGCCACCTGGATCGGTGCCTCTCTCATGCGATTTGTCATCGCACCCAGACTCAAGAAAAAGTGAGTGCATGCACTAGCTGTGATTGTGATTGGGTGTATTTGATTTGTATATAAGAACTATTGGAACACAAGTAGTCGCTTGAAAATTCAATAATATTTTTTTAATCGAGGTGACAGTAAGTATGCTTCTTCTACTGCACACTTGAGAGCATAATTAAGAAATTCACATTGATTATCTTGCTGAAACAAAGTTTCCTTGTTATTCATAATGTCATGCTAAACTGCCGTCTTGTTATCGAAACCGATTGTCAGGCCATAGTTTTATTTTAGTGCTGCATACGGCATTCATAAATACAAGCAATGAAAAGTCAGCGTTCGTTTGATTTCAAATGATAGTGATGTTTATGAGTCGATGAACGAAGTTGAGTCTTATTTAGGTTGCGAAATTTTTCTAAAATCTCGTCAGTATAATTTGTTTTTCTGTTTACTTGCGTTCATTGACTCTTTTCCAATTGTCTGTTAGCTAGCTTTACTTTTATAGGGTTGAGTGTGCGTGTGTGTGTTTAGAAATGGTCTGAAGGAGGACGTGAGGGCCTGTCTCTATGAGAGTGTGAACATGTGGATGGAAGAGATTGGGCCGACCAACAAGTTCCACGGCGGAGTTGAGCCGGACTTGGCTGACCTCGTGAGTAGAAGTAGTAGTAGTAGTATTAGTAGTACTAGCGAAGAAAGAAAGAATTTATTTTTTCACGTATAGTACAGCTATTTGGCAAGTTTTCAAACAATTTACACAGTCCGCCAATGGAGAGGACAGGCTTAAGTCACAGGCTTAGTGGGGTTAATCTAAATAGTAATTATTTATGTAATATAAAAAAAACAAAGTTCTGAATTTCCCACATGTTATTGTTTTTAAGAGTCGATGAACGTAGTTCAGACATTTATATAGCTCGCGATGATTTCCGTTTTTTTAAGGAAAAGTATTGAAATTTGTTAAGGCTCCAATTTATTTTTTCGCGGTTTAACTTTTGATTTCTGTTTAAGTTCTGCTCGTTTCCTTTGTTAAGAGATAGGCAAATTACATCATCGTGCAGCAAAAGTTAAAAGACCATGAGAAACGTGATCGACTTCTAGTTTCGAAAGTAGAATTTATCTTTCTGAATCCCAGTGAAATAAACATTTTACTTATTGACCAGTTTTCTCAAATTGGGTTAATTTTATCAAGAAAGTTCCAATCATAAATTGGTCTCGAAATTCGAAGAGCTCTGAGGGCATCAGTTTTGTTTTCTATGAAAATCGAAAAATCAAAATTTTTCCCTCTTCTCCAACTCTGTTGACCTTCTTTTATTTGGCGTACATAGAGAAAATTTTTTGACAGCTCATTCGCGCAACATTATTAAGCATTAGACGGTCGGTTCTTGCCTCAAAGATTGAAAAGTTTTGATCCATGATTCTGTATTCATGTAGGTTCAATTTTTTAGCACGCTGGTTGTATGAAAGCTTGTAATGAAAATTTTCGGGTACTGAAGAAAATTAATTTTTGGCAAAAATCTGATTCAAAAAAATTTTAGCTTGCTTTCTGTTCTTGCCTTATTTGATTTAAAAATCTAGGAGTTTCTTTTCAATACTTCATTTTTGGTTGGTGAAATTTGAGTAGACTCGGTTTCAACAATCGTGTTACCATGAGTGGTAACAAGTTCAGCATTTTAAGGTCCGAGTTATTCACCGGAGAGCACTCTTATGGATTTTTGCCAGACTCGGCACGTCAAATCTTGAGAGCTTAACACAATGAAACTCAGTAAGAACTGGTAGGAGCAAGGATTTGTACAGGTCCAGTTTATACGATGTTTTCATTAGATAGAGAACACTATTAGCTGTCTTCAATCTCGTTTCCACTTGCCTGCCAGCTCATGTTTTTGTTTAAAAGCACCCGACCGATAGTCCTTGATAACATCTGATTGTTCTAGGGCAACACCCTGTAAAACTAACTAAGTCTCAATTTCTCGGAAGATAATCATAAAACATTTATCCTTTCATTTTGTTTTTGCTGACACATTGACTTGTGTTATCTACAGGAACAAGTTGCATTCGCCCCTTAAGATAATCTTACAAAACTTCGATTAAGCATCCCCTTACGCCAAAGTTTTTCAGAAGTTCTTTATGGGCATTTAATCAAACGCCTTCGTAAAGTCTGTGTAAAAAGCAATGACCACGCAAGATGAATCTTCGTCGAGAGCGTTGTGAAGTTTTTCAGGAAACTTAGCATGTTTTTGACCACTGCACGTTTCCCGACAAAACCATGCTAGTTCAGGTTTAGTGCTCTGCAAAGTAATTGTACAAGTCATAATAAATACTTTCTAAAAAGTTTACTCATATAATTTAGAAGTGATACAGGTCGGCAGTTGTCTATGTCTTTTTTGAACGCTGGTGACACCGCCGCCAGTTTCCATCTGATTGGTTTTTTCCTGATGCGCTTTACATTTTTTCGAAATTCTGTTCACATTGACTGCCATTTTCCTACCAGTGTTTTTGGAAAAAGATTGGTGGGAGTCCGTCCGACCCTCTAACTTTTTTCGGATCTAGTATTGCTATAAATACGTGAATAGTCTCTATCGAGACGCTGAAATTCGTCTATGTTGGGGTTTTATTTTGTTACGTCTTCGATATGTAATGATTCTTTAGGTGAGAAAACAGAATTCGAAAAAATGATTAATTATGTCTACTTTTTCATTTTTATTACTGCTACTTATTCCATCTTTAACAATAACTGTGTGTAATTTACAGAATTTGTTTTGAAAGATTTTGCTGATATCTGAGACTGTCACTTTCGGCAGCTTCGGTTACAATCGCTCTAAAATTATCAACGTGTCTGTTCCTGTAGCTTATGGGTTTTACGAGAAGCAATTGTTGCTGTGTCTATAGTCTGTTTATTGAGTTAGAAAAGCTTGGAGAAATCCACTGAGGGAGAGTTTGTTTGATAGCTACTCATTAGAGTCTTTCAATTGGTGTTTGGAAAGTTTATATCTCCGCATATTAGAAGCGGCGTTGTTTTGGGAAAACGGCACACTTTTTTTTCAAAAAACTTTTTTTATTATATCTGTATTTGCTATTTTAGGGTGGGCTGTAGAAAAGGCTAACGTCTAGCTCATTACCATCTATTTGAACTTGCATGCTACTGGCGAGTCAGGAAGGTTATGCTTTAATTAAGAGATTCTACACTGTTTGACAGCAATCAGTGATCCACCATGAGCCTTTTTATCAACTTCTTGTAGTCTGTTTGATCTGTATTTAGCCAAGCTGCAAAAGTTTAGTTTTCCTTTTTCAATGTTAAATAAGTTTAAATGAATTAAATCTTAGGTTAGACTGGACGTGAATCTCCCCTCACCACAAGACGAAAACCCCAACCCTGAAAGTTTGATTTGACCGCGAAAAATGATTGTGGTATAATAGTGAAGGGTTGCCCGACCCCCACGCACAGTTTTGCCTATGGTCGGAGTATGGAGTATTCTGTACTACTTGCACAGTGTTAGTTGTTTTGTCAAGTAGACCGTTTGTCAGTTTTCAAACCTTTTAGTTGCATAGGAGTGTGTGTTTTGTTGAGTGGCTGTGTTTAGGCTGTGTTTGGTGTGCTGCGAAGCATGGAAGACATGAGTGCCTTCCTAGACATGCTGGAATACACGCGAGTGGGCAAGTGGTACGGCAGAATGAGCAGACTATGTGCGAAGAACTCACAAGAGAAGAGACAACTCACAAGTCAGCCTTCAGTCGAGGCCGAGGAGGACACTAAAGCTGAACAGCAATTAGAATCAGAAGGTGGCAGAAGCAACAAAAAAGGAACAAGTCACCACAGCACTCGTAGTGGTTAGAAAACGAGCCAGCATTTTCTGGGGTTGTAACGTCCACTTTCCATGTTTTCTGGCGACAGAGTAGAATAGTCGTTCTATCGCAAGAGCTGAAAGTAAATCATTATCAATTGATGATAATGCTTGAAGCATTAAAATTTTCAACATGTCCTGTCAAAATTAAAGGAGTGTTCATTTTGTAAATTTAATTAATTGTTTCTATTTCTGCTCCTCTTTTCCCTCTGACTACAAGAAGACAACTAGCTCCTTCGTAAGATCAATGAAGTGGCGTGTGTTAGTGGAGATTTTTGGCCACTTCACGTCAGTTGCTGCAATTTTGGTCTGCGTAAAGTCTGATGTTGCATTCTCATCTAGTCAATTGTCCTGCCTTTCTAACGAATTCAACGAAATATGCACATTTTTATTACACATGCATAGTGTGATAGTACGATGCAACTTTTTTATCCAACCTAAGTCGCAATAAAAAAAGTGTGCTACTTTTGGTGGCACTTTCGCCAGTGCGAAAATGCTAATTTTAGGTTCTTTGAAATCAGGTGGAAACACTGGCAATATAATACCATGTGGTTTGATTTAATTAGTAATAAGTAAACACAGTTGGTGCCTTTTTGATTCATCGAATGATCCGAAAAAATCTATTTTTGTTTCAAACAACAGTACAATAATAAAAGCTCGATTTCAGAAATTTACAGCTTATTATATTTTGCGAGATTTTTGAAATGCATAATTTATACACATTTAGGCTCTATGCTTAACAATTTCTGGCATGCTAAGTTGTCTTTAGCTTACAGTGCTGATTTAAATTAACCGGACAAAACGCGTTAAACTTGAAATTTAAAACGCATTTTGCTCAAATTGGGTTGTTTAGGTGAGAACTTATGAGGACAAAACTTGCTTAAAATTTTAGCAGCATTAATATGGTTTAATTTGTTTTGCGAAATTCGGGCCCAAATTTCTACCCCAAAAATGGGTCATTTTAGTTTTTCTTAGTTAATCAAAAATTACGCCGAAAATACCCAATCGATCACAGATATAATTATATCAAAGTGAGCCCCTTACGTAGCCCAACAAACTTTAAGCAGGATATTTTCTCCAAAAAAAATTGCAAATTGTTTTAAAATTGTTTTTAAATAAAAAGTTGGTGTTTTATATAGTAAAAATGACCTTTTTTGTCTATCAAACAAAAATAAATTAATTTATGCAATGTTTTGGAGACTATACCCTTCTTAAAGTTTGTTGGGCTACGTAAGGGGCTCACTTTGATATAATTATGTCTGTGATCGACTGGGTATTTTCGGCGTAAATTTTGATTAACTAAGAAAAACTAAAATGACCCATTTTTGGGGTAGAAATTTGAGCCAGAATTTCGCAAAACAAATTAAACCATATTAATCCTGCTAAAATTTTAAGCAAGTTTTGTCTTCATAAGTTTTCACCTAAACTCAACCCAATTTGAGCAAAATGCGTTTTAAATTTCAAGTTTAATGCGTTTTGTCCGGTTAATTTAAATCAGCACTGTATTACATTCCAAATTATTACATGCAAAATTTTTACTTTTGTGAAATTTGATCTCCGTTTTGCTGCTTGTTTTCGGTTTCTATAAGCGTCATCGACAGAAATGTGTTGGGCAGCCAACTGTAAAATTTGAATTTCCGGATTAATTCCGGCAGAGAAGGCGGCTTAATTCCGGCAGAGGTCATTTATTTTTCAAAATTCATTGGTTTTTTTTACCCGTTTAAAGCTACTTCTTAGCGTTTGTTCGCTTTTCTGCGAAGCGTGTTATTAAGAGTCGGTGAACGTACTAAAGGCTCTATATAGGCCGTGATTATTTTTTTTGTTCGTTTTTTTTTCAGGAATGTTCACGCTCAAGGTTGAGTTTTGGCAGTTTGACTTTGATTTTTTCTAACTTCATTTCCTTTGTTAAAAGGAAAGCAAACTCCACTATCGAACAGCAAAAGTGTAAAGGTCACGAAAAACACGATCGACTTCTAGTTTTCTAGTTTTGAAAGAGCATTTTAATGTTCAGATTCCCCAGGGGAGTGAAAAGCTTACATATTGATAGTTTTTTCAAATTGTGTTAATTTGTCAAAAAAAGTACTTGTCATAAAATGCTCTTCAGCTTCATAGAGCTTTCAGGCTATGTATTTTTTTCTCTGTCATTCGAAAGTTGAAGTTTTGAAAAACAAGTCAGCCAATGAGCGCAAGAAGCAGAAAAAAACTACGGCTTCGAATTTCAATGAAAAAATAACATAGCCTTAAAGCTTCTTTGCGATCATTGACTCTTTTCCAACTTTCTGTTGGCTATGTTTTAAGGCTGTATTGCAATTGAGGTAGAAATTATACGATTTCCAGTTTTTTTTTAACTGGGAGATATGGATGTTTAAGCATTTAAGCTATATCCTCATGTTGTATGTGCACCTGAGATCAGCTTAGTCTACTATGACCATCGTCTTTTTTCTAACCTAACTCGCGAATAAAAGTTTTCATTAAAAGTGTTCACTTATTTGAAATTTTCACTGTAGCATTGGAAATTGCATAGCATCTGTTCTCTGCTTTTCTTGTGGCTTGTGTTTTTGATTTATTAAGCATGAGTGGTTAGTGTGTGAGACTCTTAACCTCTAGGTCGCAGGTTCGAATCTCAGACGTGGTCGGTTCTTTGCACTTTAAAGAGCTGCTTTTTGTCGTATTCTCGCAGGTGTTTGCGAAGCCAAGCTTTGCTTCTGTGTTTAGTTTTTCAATCAACATGTTCTATATTGGCCTTGGAGAAATATTCAATCTGTTTTAGAACCCTGCAAAAGGCTGCGAATTCAAACTGAATAAATTTCCTTTCTATGTATCATATTTTTAATTATTTATATTTATGTATTAAATATTTAATCTCGAGTTTTGGCATGTTTAAGCATTGGTCTATCTCAGCATTTTTTTTTATTGTATCAGTTTTTCTATATTTGGCTTGTACGCATGTTTTTTTTGGGCTCAACTGATGTATGCTCAAAGGTTGTCAGTTTTGTTTTCGCTTCGTTTTGTTCCGTCGCAGATTTGAAATTCTCACTTTTGGCATGTTTGTGTTTGTTTAGAAATCCTGTTTGATTAAAAGAGGTAGTAGGAAAGTTTATGTGATAGGGTATTAATGTTTTTTTTTTGTATACGCTTTGAATTTTACTTTTTGCGAAGTCTCTTTTTACTTTACCCCATTGTCTACTCCCATCAAAAAAGTCCATGCGGAAATATTTGACCTATTTTTTGGACTTGTTTCTCAAAAACTACCAAATTTGAGATTTTTGATTGAATGGAGAGAACGGATGTGTGAAGCTCCCCTGCTTCAGCCGTCACTCCCAAATTTTTTTACACAGGCCCTTCATGCCCTTGGAAAAGTAATATCTCTCGGAAATGACTCTTTTTGAGTTTTTCGAGAACTGCTTTCCCAAGTCTGAGATTAGGGGTTAAATCCAACACAACCACGCCCAAATTTTTTAAAGTAAGTTTTGATTTTTGACCTTTTTTTGACTGCCGGAGAACCACCCTCCCAAATTTGAATTTTTGGTTCAATCGAAGTAACAGGTTATGTGAATCTGTACTGCATGAGTGGCTACACACAAATTCTTCACACAAGCTATGATTCTTAAAAAAGTCATATTTTTTTATTGTTGACCATTGCTTATAAAACTTTTGGCTTTCTCGATAACTATCGTGCCTTATCTGATATCAAGGGTTAAATTGAAACAACATGATGTTGAAAGCTTAACTGCTTAGTGGGTGCGCCTATTTTTTTTAAAGAAAAAATTTTCGGCCTACAAAAAAGTCAAAGTCTGCGACAATTACACGCCAATTCTTAGGTTTAGTGTTCAATCGTGTTGAATTTTTTTGCTTAAGCGGCCACGACGTACTTTTCACTTTTGCAGGAAGGTTTCATGTGTTTCGAAAACTCAACTTTTTGAATTTTTAACGTTTTTTAAATAGTTTTAATAGTTTTTAGTTGTAAAAACTAAACTATTAAGTCTGAGATAAAGGTTTCACTAGAGAGAACTGATTGTGATAATTTTTCCTGCAGAAATGACTCCTAAGTTTTTTTTTAAGAAGAAAGTTACTCAAAAAGTTTTCTAGATACTCAAAAATTTTCACTCTTCTCACTTGTTTTAGCAGAGAAACAATTGTGAGGCAAAGAACTTCCTGCTTTAGTTGGGACCCTTAAATGTCTCTTATCGAGAGATACGAAAATTTTGGTTCGCCTAGCTTTTTCTTACATTTTTCAATTTTTTTCTTCTTATTTTTTTGTAGTATCGCAAGTGGTGCGAAGTTCCGCTCCACCTGTGTTTGAAATCTTACGTGAAATTTTAGAAAATTGTAAATCAACCTCCAAGACCTTCATTAACATGTTTTTCGTTTTTTTTATCACTTCGCTTACCAACTTTGGTTCAAAGTTTTATTGCTTTTGGTTGTTCGAGCGGTGTATTTATTTTTTTCTGGTGCGGATAATTGATTTCGCAATTTTGTTTTTGTACATTTTTTGTATATTTTTCCATGAAGTTTTTTCGATGGCAATTGATTTTTCAAAATTTTTTTCTTTTTGTTTTTCAGCCCATTTTGTAGGAAAGGTAAACATTCCTTTTAAAAAACGAGGACTAAGCAAGCTTGAAGTGATATCAATTCAAGAATTAATAAATTCAAAGTTTTTGATGACTTGTTGGAATTTGATAATTCAAGTTCGATGAAGGAATTGGCTAATAGGAAGCAGCAAGAGAACGTAAATGTGGATTTGGCCCTAAGCCGAACTGTTTGCCCCAATGAGTGGCGCTGAGTAGCATGTGAAATAGAGTTCACGCTTTGCTTGAGCTATGTGACGTGTAGTTGCCTGAAAAGGGGTCTGTGATCTGCTTCGTTTTAAGGACTAGGCCAAACAATCACACACTTTCGTGTTCTTATTTTTGTCATAAATTTGGACTGATTATAGATCAAAATTTATAGAAACACTGAAATGAATAACTCGTAGTGATTGATGCAATTTGCTTGCACGATCGCGCGGGGATTACTTTTGGAGTTGAGTTGGGAGGCATTGGATCAGTGCAATACCTTGTTTCACTTTGAGCTTGGCTCTAAATGTGATCAACAAGTAGTTTATCAGCTACTGCGTGTTGGGTGTGGTGGGGCTGCTGTGTTTGCACAGTACAAGTTGCCAAATAACATTATCTCGCCCTTTGTTTCGGCTGGTGGTGCACATCTGTTACTGTCATCTTGAGTGTCCATTTCTGCTTGAAAGCTGCTGCTCATTTCTACCCGCTTCAGGTTTGTCAAATGTCAATTTGGGGAGTGTGTGGTTGCGTTTGATGAGTGCAGTTTAACCGGAAGACAGATTGAACAAGAAGACGAGAAGTGACAGAGAGAGAAGAGAAGAGAAGAGAAAGACAAGGACGCAGTAGGCGATTGATTCATTGCTCCTCCCACTAGAGGGCAAACATATAGATAGCTGGCTCGTAGCTTATCTCTTATCTCACCATCCCCATCGCCATCGCCGCCGCCACCCTTACTCTGGCTGTAGTGCTGTGCTGTGCTCATTACTCGTTCACTCACACATCTGTATACTGTAATACACTCGCCAGGTCAACATCAAAACAAGCTACGCTACAATCCAAACTCAACCGATCGAACACATTTGAACACACCTCAAAACTCATCTTCAGACCCACTGCTAATACACATCACACCATACGCCTGCAGTTAGTGGATGCTGCTAATTAATTGAATTGAATTGTTTCCTTACTTGTTTCCATATTTGAGGCACAGCAGTCATGATGAGTTACGCATTCTGTGGGCGTGGAGAGACGCTGGCAGTGATCTTTGACAGAGAGGAGGGCGGCTTCTGCTCCTGTGCGGCCGACGTCCTCTTTCCCTGTCTCCTCTTCACAATCGCCCTCATTCGAATCATAATGTTAAAGCCCCAGTGCAGCCCCAGATGCTGTTCTTGCTGGTCTCCCTTTTCCAAACACACTGCCGCTGCTGCTGCAGCTGCACAGCACACACCCAACAGGAGCATGGCCTCCGGCTGTCCCTACTCCTCCCCACATCAGACTGACCACGTGAACTACTCTGGAGTGGCTGTGAACGAACACCCAGCCCCAGGTAACCAATCGAGACATTAAACTGCAACCAAGTCCATGCTAAGCATGTACTCGGCCTTTTTTTTCCTGTAAAAACGTTGCAAACAGAATTCGCGCATGAGAAGTTATGAGCCGCCTGATGTATTCAAATCAAATGACAGTGTATGCGTATTTCGCCTAGAGGTAACGAACATGCCGGGGCAGCAAAGTGTTGGTTTGGATTTGATTCCGGCCTGCAGCAGATTTTTTAATTTGAAAATTTTAATGTACTATCATCAACTGTTTGTCATTGTTGATTCGTCTAAGTTGATTGACAAATTGTATGCATGTTGATAGATATTTCAAACTTTTATATTTATTTTGTCTGGGTCTCAATTAGACTAGATTTTGTCTTTTATTGAGCCTTATATATGCTCATTTGATTTTTTTTAGACATTTGCATACCTTTAGATGTTTCATTTTCTTTCCGTCAAAATTTTTGATATAACAACTTTGCTTTAGGTTTAGTTTTAATGTTTTTTTTTTTCATTTTATGAGATGTAAGCGCTGCATATGGTTTCAATTGCACGGATAAGTACAAAGACTTTCAAAGAATTAATCAAGTAATATTGAATGAGGTTTTAAGTTCAAAGAGATTTCAGTAAATCTTGTGAATATTGATAGTTGTTCTTATCTTTGAAAATGGGAAGGAACTTTGTATTCGGGGGTGTTTTAGTGTTTTTCCACGAAAAATCAGGTACCAAAATTAATCATTGAAATAGGTCGAGTGATATATCATTTTAAGTTTTTTCAATAATGGTTCAAACAACTTCGAGCGAATAAAGCAAGCGAGCTTTATGTAATAAACTTGCAATTGTTAGTTTTAATACTACCTTTTTACTTAGTTTTATTCAAGTAACATTTAATCACGATTTTTTAGCGCTTTTTTGGAAATCAAAATTCAAGAATGAATAAAAAAAAATGTGAAAAGTTTTCGCATTTTGTTTGAATTTTGTTTTCGATTTTTTGTTCCTATCTTTGAAAATTGGAAGGAACTTTGTATTCGGGTGTGTTTTAATGGTTTTTTTTTTCAGGAAAATTTAGGTACAGCAAATAATCATGGAAATGGGCGGAGTGATATATCATATTAAAGCTCTTTTAGTCGCGATTCAGATCGAAACAGAAGTTCTCAAGGGACTAGATCATTCTGAAGTGCGCTCTAAACAGTTCTTAATAGGCAGCTACCAACCACAACGGCCCGACCATGAAAGAATAGAAAGTAGTAGCAGGCAATGATGCAACCAACTGCAATCTTTGTTCCAGGATGACATCGCTCCTTTGATACCAAGTGCCACTCCCACGAATAAAAATACACGAAAAACTTTTTCAGCACCGTTGTTTGTCATCCTAATTAAGCTCCTTACACGGTTTCACCTGAAATGGAAATAGACATCGGTGTAAACAAGCTTGATAGCGATGCCAGGTCCAAACTCGCGGAGCTCGCATCTGGGTACTTTCACTTCTGATTACGGTGATCGGTTAGAAACTAAAATTCGTAATGTCTGGAACATGTAGTTAAGCCTCACTACACGTACACCGCCTATGAACAGTTGAGGCAAACCGACAGACTTGGACTTCCTCAGTCTCTGGACTGACCTGAGCGCCTTTGTTGTAGCTGATTTCCTCCAACTCACAGCACATGGGACGGTAGAACTAAACTCCCTGCCAGAATCAATAAGTTTTACGGAGGATGCTGACCTTACAACAGCACAAACCATGACAGGTCAATCAGACAAAGTGCAGTGTCAAAATGACGCTAAAGTAACCCACACCTGTGGTCTGCAAACTATGAGAGCAGAACAGGTCAAATTGGGTTCGCTTTTCTATGGTTGTGATTACACTAGCCATCAGCTTAGTGTATTATTACGAACCTTCTTTTGTTCTAACCTAATTCGCAAATAAAAGTGTTCATTAAAGAGTTCATTTATTTGGTATTTCCCTGTAGCATTGCAAATTGCATAGCAACTGTGCTCTGTTCTTTGCTTTTTTGTGGCTAGTGTTTGGAAGGTATTAAGCTTCCGTGGCTGAGTGGTTAGTGTGTGAGACTTAATCTCTAGAGCGCACGTTCGAATCTCAGACGTAGGCGCATTTTTATTATTTCGAAGCTTATTTCTACCTTTTCTTGTGCGCTTAATAGAGCTGGTTTTGTCGTGTTCTCGCCTCTGTGCTTATTGATGGTTTGATGTTCAGTTCTATTTGTGCTACTTGCACACGAGGGTGCCTAAATATATTAGCCAATCTAGTGCTTATTTGGGTTTTGCGTGTTGTGCAGTAGGAGAAGCAGCAGCAGCAGCAGACTTGGGCAGACGAAGTGCCAAGTGGGGGTCAGTGGGACGCATGTTCGTGTGGCTGCAGCTGCTCATGCCATTCCACTCACTCCTTCTTCTCGTCATTCGAGTCACTCTGGCCAAGGAACAGTTGCTCCTTGTGTGGCCAGTGTCCATTCTACTCCTGTTCGCATCCTGGTGGACCAGCACTTTCTGTCTAGAAGTGGAGGTGTCCAGAGCTCTGGACAAGAGTTCCAGCCCCAAATTTAGACACAGTCCCATCCTGCTCCTCTTCTGGGGCACCAGTCTCATCTATGAATCAGTGCCAATCATCGACCTCATAGTTGCACACGAATGGAAGTATCCTCTACACGATGCTGCCACCAATACTAAAAGCATAGTCATGTTTGGCCTCTGGTGTGTTCGTTTCACTAGTGTAATTGTCATCCTCATTCTCGGCTTCATAGCTCCCGGACTGCCGAGACGAAGTCGTCCGGTTGTCCATTCGGCTGGGGAGGGCGAAGACCAACAAGGTATTAACAGTTTAGTTTGCAAAAGTCACCAAAACTGACTATGTTAATCGAAACGAGCAATTTCTTTAGAAGGAAAATTTGTTGTGTATTTTAGTTAGGCTACCTTTTGAACTCCTTTCTTATTTTTAATTTAAGTCGGCTGAATCCTTGGATTTTAAGTCGTCTGACATGCAAGGGGTTTTCTAACACTGGCCTGTTGCCGCTTTTTAATTAATTCTGTCTGATCGGATCGAGCTTTGCTGGTCTTTGGAGCGCATTTACCCTCCTTAACTTTTTATGTAAAATGGGTGAGCTCGGAAGAAAGTTTCGGACATTTTTTGGTGAAATTTTGCTGAGCTTATTTGGTGAAATTTGCCCAGGCTGTTTTATATCACTAATTATAAAGTAATTTAGCGAAGTTATGTTTGCTCTAACAGGCCTGTTTGGAAAAGGAGAGAAGAAATTGACGAGTGAAGAGGACAGCACGTTCAAGAACTTCTTCCTGAAGATGAAGTTTTTGTGGCCTTACATTTGGCCGAAGAACGAACCCAGGCTGCAGATAAATGTAGTGCTCTGCTTCATTCTCCTTATCTTAGGTGAGCTTCCTTCCTTCCTTCCTTCCTTCACTCGTGTTGTGTAAGATGAGCAAGACAGTTTTGGTAGCAGTTCAAGTTGTAAATGCAGGCTGGAGTGTATGATTTAAAAAAACAACACTTTTCTTGATAGATGTAGTCCCCTCCCCTATCGCAACAGGTGGGAAATCTTTAGAAATCTTCTTAATATTTTGTTTGTTCGTCAGATGCAACTGATGACTAGATAGGCAGATATCAACAAGGGGACTCAATGTTAATTATCCAGTCGTTGATTACACAAGCATAGCTTGTGTTATTGTAAGAAATTTCTTTTTTTTCCAACCTAAGTTGCAAATATTGTTGTGATGCAATTGTTGCGACAAAATGTGTTCATTTTGAAAGTGTTCATTTCGAAAGTGTTCATTTTGATTCAGCTATTAATTACAGCCAATGCTATGGATATTAACACAGACTATTATATTACAAATAGCACTTTAGCCTCAATTTATCATGGTTCTAGCGTAGTGGTGGGGAAGGAGACCAGAAGCAAAATAAGAGGGTTCGAACCTGGGGAGTGTCTGATTTTTTTAATGAACTTTTTCGTATATTAGTTTAAATGCGTCCGGTTTATGAATTGAGGCAAGTTAATTGGTAAATTTCTTTTAAAATTGACTGGTAATGCTAATGCGTCATAATTGGCTTGCGTAGCAATTATGTAGACTCAAAATTGGCGTGCGTCACTTAAGAAATTTTGTAAACTCAAAGTTTTACTCATTCAGTTTGTTCCAGTAGCGTTGTTGGTCATATTTGGCCTGTGTATGCGAAGTGCAATTTCGCCTCTGTGTATAATTTATCAGCCAAACGAGATGCCATCCTCTTTTTTCCTAGATTACCCTTTACGGTAAGTAAGGGTATTGCCATTGTGTACTAGACTTTTTTCCCGTAAATAACATTGTTCACATAATGGTCAATTTTAGTAGGAATGTTAATTTTCACGACTACTGACATGCTTAATTTCTTGAAAATTTAATTAATACTACCATCACTTATGTAGCAATTAGAGGAAACTCGTTTCAGGTAATAGCTTTTTTTCAAATAAAATTTTTCGAAAAAGATTTTTTTTTGTATTCGTGGTTTTTCGTATTCGTCCTAGTTTGCTTCGGCTAATTTTCCTTTTTTGATTGCAGTTTGTATTATCTGGTGCGTTTTTTGGCTTTATTTTCCAAAGCATAGGTTTTTCATCGACGTAATCAGTTCATCAGTTCTTACTATGATTGAAACTGATGTAATTTGTATTTTTTTTTCGGTTAAACGGTTTCGGCTAATATTTTTTTTAGCTTAGACAAGCTATGTTGCGTAGTTTCGAGGGTAAAATATGTTTAAGCTTTTCTTGGTTATTTTTTTTTAAACTTCATACCTCAAAAGTTTTTTGTGACAGCATTTTTTTCGGCTCAAAATCTTCTCTTTTTTACTCCGTTCTTTTTTACAGCGCAATTTTTTCTAAGCTAAGTCGCAAATAAAAGTGCTCATTTAGTTGCACTTTTGTTAAATTAAAATTTAACCAGTTTTAGTATCCGTAATTTCATAGCATATGTTTTCGCTTTATTTTTGGCTAGTGTTAGGTCCTGTTTGAAAAAATAGGTTTTATGAAAATGTATGGGATTTGTTTTTTTTTGCGACGCTTTAGAAAGTTTTTGCACTTTTCGCAGAAATTTCAATCTTTTTTATAACTACTGTACAGTTTTTCAAAAATGGTACCAATGGACAAACCGACTGCTCCTCCTATGATCATGCATTTTTCGCTAGTCTCGTTTCATATTACCCTAAGTTCTATGGCCTTCAGTAGGGGGATTTTTGACCTATTTGTTTTGAATTTTTTCATTCACTCAGCTACTAAATGCACAAATCTGAGATGAAGGTTTCAATCAAATGAAAAAACTATGAGAATCTCACCTTCTTGTAGAAAAAATTTAAGGACTCAAACAAGCCCATTTTTTGACATTTTTGCTGATTTTTGAAGCTTTTCTCAAAGTACCCTGCCAGTCGGAGATTCAGGATTTCACCGAAAGATTAAAAACCAGTTATGTGAGTATTCTCTGCGCATGCGGCTATGCCTTGCGGCTAAGAGTAATGTACAGAGTGAATACTCTTATATGGGTCTTGCTAATTTTTTTTTGGAAACTTTTTTTTGAAAAACTAACCTGCTGGTCCTGAGGTTATTAATTTCTTCAAACTAACATGGTGCTTAGATTTTCCCTGCGCAATATGTTTCATCCTATTTTTTTGCAAAAAAGACAATATGGGCTCCGGGAAAATCCATTTTTTGAAGTTTTAATCGTTTGAGAAATTTCATCATTTTTCTTGAAAGCTACTAGTTAAACTGATATAACGTGTGCAATCCAAAAATCAGGGCTTGGAAATCTTCCCTGGATAAAAGATTATTCCCATGTTCAATTATAGAAAAATTTTTGGATTTAGGAAAAGGCAATTTTTCGATTTTTTGATCATTTTTGGGAGTCTTTTTTTGGGAGTCTTTTTTTGGGAGTCTTTTTGGGAGTCAACTACCCAGCCAAAGCTGACAAAGATTTCAATTGAAAAAGCGAGTAGTAGTTTCTCATTCAAACAAGCAGCTTATTTCCTACAACAGAGAAACTTTTAGGTCTTGCGTTAAGTCCCTGTTCTACACTTGCAATAAGCAAGGGTGTTACAATCGAGTACTAGCCTTTTTATCCCGTAAACAACTCTGTAACTTTGTCCACAGGACTCATTAGACTCCTGGCATACCTTGCTTTATGATGACTTCAAATTTTGCAGTGTCTCTTGCACTGCACACTTAGCTTGGTAGTAATGAATACGCCTGGGACGGCAAGGGTCCTGTGTTCGAATCTGACAAGGGCCAGTTTTTTGTTAAACTGTAAAAGTTCCGGGTCAACCAAATTTCGTCTTATTGTTTGTCTGCTTAAATTTTGTCGGCTAAGTTGCCACATCTAAGAATCGTTTATTTTAGCTGTAAACAATTCTCCCTGCAGTTGCTTTCCAGGGTTTTAAAAATCCGGCCGAATCGAAATTTGCTTTTATTTTACCAGCTCGATTTGTTAAACTTCTCTTCGTTTTTTTTTGTCTTTTTCATCGGCTTACTAATTTTTGGCTTAATATATAAATTTTTTGGCCTCTCATTGCGTTTTTACGACGAAATTTTTTTTGTGCGCGTGTGTGCTCTCAGGGGAAAAGGGACTTAACATCTTTATAAGTTCAGAATTTTTTTGAATTTTTTCGAACTGTCCTTTTTGCAAACTGTAGTTGTTGTGCTTTTTCGGACTATCGTCCGTCTGTTTAGTTTTGTCGGCTTGGTTCCCGTAGCTGGATGTTTAACTTTATTCCAAGTTGCTGTTACCCCCATGCTTCAGTAAAAACCCGGAATTCGTTTCCAGTTGAGACTTGTTTTTTTTTGCAAATAGAAAATTTTGGCTAATTTAGATTGTCTGTCTGCTTAGTTCCGCAGAAAGGTCTTTTTTGAAAATTTGCCTTCGTTGTAGAGTTTCTATTAGTGTAGGCAATTTGGTTCCAGATATTTTGGGCTTTTGTTGCAATTTTTATTGGCAAAAACGAGTTTTTAAAGTTTTTTTTTCATTTTTTACGTTTGTTGTTAATCATAGTCATTCATACTTGTATCGCAAGTGGTGCGAAGCTCTGTGTTGAATTTTTGATAATTACGCATTTCTGCATCAATACGACTTATGAATAACAATATTAAAACAGGTACATGCAGCATTATCTGGGCCACTAGTTTACTTCCAAGTGACCCTGGCGCAGATGCGAGGACGGGAGTGACACTCCTAATTATCAGGTCGGAGATCCAAGTCCGGAACATTGAAATAGTTATCTTTTTTGCTCGAATTTTTACTGCTATTTTGTTGGCTAGTGTTAGTAAAATTACCAACGGTCATGGAGCAGATGTGAGAACGTGATACTCCTCTATTCACAGAATTGATGTTCAGTTTTTTTTCTCAAGGTGTATTTTTAATTATTTCCTTTTCTACTTTGTTTTGCCTTTTGCCTGTTTAGAGCCCCTTTTTGCATTTTCTTGCTTGTGTTTGCGAAGCACAGCTTCGCCTCTGTGCAAAAATTTGTTCATAAATTTTGAACCCTAAACTCTTCCAGGTTTCATTCCATTTGGCCTAGGGGTCACGCCGTTGCCTTTGCATACGAAGGTCTGGGGTAGGCGCTCTGCCGGACCTTGTTTTTTCAGTTAAAATGCAATTTAAAAAAAGTTCGGTTAAAATTGAATGGTCGGTTTTTCGTTTGTCAGCTAAGTTTTCACATCATGGATTTTGCTTGTGCTGTAAGCAATTTCCATTGTACGTGCAAGTGTTGTTCATTCGTTTATCAGGAGCAAACTTGAATGATTAAAATATTGTTTTTCGTAAAATCAATTTTTTGTTTGGCTCAACGATTGTCGGCTTATTTGCTAGATTACTGATTTTTTTACTGCTGTAAGCAACTTTCATTTAAGTTACAAATGCAAATGTTTTTCATTGTAGTTTCAGGTGGGGCTGAAAGTTTTGTTGGTTTGATTTTTTATGTAATCATATTTTTTCGGATCAACTTGTGTCTGCTCAAAGATTGTCGAAATTGTTGCCTTTTTGTACGTTTTGTTCCATTGCTAATTTAATATTCAAGTTTCTTTGATTTTTTTGGAATGAATTTCTATCGAGACTTATCGAGAAATTTAAAATTTTGGAACCTAATTTTCTTTACTTACTCATGTTTTTCGACTTTTTAAAAAATGTTTTTGTTACAACGCAAGTGGTTCGAAGCTTCGCTTCCCCTCTGTGTTGATTTTTGATTTTTTTCCGATTTAGCGGCTTTCTGCTTTTGTATCGCAGATAGTGCGAAGCGCAGGTTCGCCTCTTATTATAATACTGTGTTTTGTGTTCATAGGGCGTCTGGTCAACATCTGCATCCCCATTTTCTACTCCAAGCTAGTCACCCGTCTCTCTCAAGAGGAGGAGGTGGAGGGGTTGTCTGCAGGAGGAGGAGGGGGAGGAGGAGAGAGTAGCAGTGGAGGGGTGGTGCCCTGGGCTTACATCTCTCTCTATTGTGGCTTCTACTTCATGTCTGGCAGTGGGTTCGGAGGCAGTGGATTCCTCTCCAACATCCGCTCCCTCCTCTGGATCAATGTCCAGCAGTACTCCATGCGGACCACCATGGTGGAAATATTCTCACATCTCCACAGTCTATCTCTTCGATGGCATCTAGGTCAGTCTTCTTCTTCTTCTTCTTCTTCTTCTTCTTCTTCTTCTTCTTCTTCTTCTTCTTGTCTTGTCTTGTATGTCGTTTATAACCCCTGGGGGTCTCGACTGCCACTCCCCGGACACGCAGTGTTCCTATGTCTTGCTACATTCGTTTTTGTGATGGGGATCCCGCAGTCCGGGCATGTGGTCCTGGCTAGTGTGCTCGCGCTTCTAAGAGTCATTGTGTCATGTCTTCTCGAACAGTAGGTTCTTCTATGTCTCGCCATGTTCGTCGTGCTAAGTTCTTTCCCACAGTCCGGGCACGTCCCTCTTGGGGCCCCTCCACATTGCTTGGCGTGGTTCGTTCTTTGTGCTTTTTGTTCGAAAGTTGTGTGACATTTTCCACATTCAAATATTAGTTCATTGCGCTTGTGGATTCGTGTTTCATGATGGTCTCGTCCCACCTTTGTTCGGCATGTCTTTTCGCATGGTGGCCAACGACATTTGAACCCTTCCTCCGTGATTGGTTTACCGGCTTGGCTTCTGGTTGGTTTCAGATCCCCTTTGTGTATTTCGCACATCTTGTTCTCCCATTCATCCATGGCCTTCTTCCTCTCGTTCACAATACCCTTCCAATTTTTTCTGTCCATAGTTAGACCTTCGATGTTAGTCCAATGTAACCCTGCCTCTTTTAAAATTCTTTTCCAGTACGTTATAGTGTTGTTCTTCCCATTCTTTGGTCTTTCGCCTACTTCCGTCCAGTTGCCCAGAGTGATTTTCTTTACTGTTCTTGTGTCCGGCATCCTCGTCACTTGTCCTATCCTCTCCAGTGCCCGTGTTTCCATCTTCTGTCGAATTGATGTTATTCCTAGTTGCCTTCTGATCTCAAAACTATTCACCCCTTCCTTCTGCATCCTGTATAGCGCCAGCCCCTTCCCATTATTCCATACGTTTCTGTACGCTATATCGGCCACTCTTTGTAATTTCGAAATGTCCGTGGTTGTCCAGGGTCTCACCGAGCAGTCGAATAGCATGGTTGATTCTACTACTGCTTGGACAATTACCGCCTTGGTTCTCTTTGACAGTGTTGACTTCCATAGCCATTTCTTGGCCTTTGACCAAGCATGGTAGCCTCTTTTAATCCTCGCGTTTATGTCTTCCTTTCTTCCAATTAGGGTCCCCAACATCCTTGTCCTGTCCGCTGCCTCGCTGCCAAACATTATGAATTCTTCTTTCCCATCGTGACACACTTCTTCATGCTTCAGCATCGTCTTCTTAATTGTCTCTTTACCTCGACTGAGCTCTTCCATACTTCCTAACAGAGTGGAGTCGTCCGCAAACAGCGAGTCCAGTATCTGGAATTCAATCCTGTTGCTGCTCTGTAGGTTCCTTTGGGACGTCGCAGGGGGGAGGCTGTTTCCCGGTCTCCAGGTCCACTTCAAGCCGCATTCTTCCTTTGCCTCCTTTATCCGATCCATTTGGGCTTGCCTCATGGATGTAGTATGATAAATATTAAACAGAATGGGCGAGGTGGAGCAACCTTCGCGAAGGCCCCTTTGTGGCGTCCATGGTGTACTCAGTTCCTGTTTGCCTTTTACTCGGTATTGTGTGTTCTCATGTAAGCCTTTCAGGATTTCTAAGATGCTTGGAGGCATACCTAGCTTTCCTAGTATCCCCCATAAAAGTGGTTTGTTCGTTCTCGGGTAGGCCTTTTTTATGTCCAAGAGTACAGCTCCTGGTCTTCTCGGGTCAGGGTGGTTAGACCTTCCCAGAACTCTACTTGTCTCTTCGTCGATTCTGATTATAGTCTGTGTTGCGTCCGCGGTCGATCTGTTTTTCCTGAAGCCATTTTGGTTCTCGTCTAATGCCCCAATCCCTTCCGCCCATAGTCTGATCCTGGAGGCCAGTACTCTGGCTATGATCCGGCTGGCTAAAGGAAGGAGGCAAATGCCTCTGTAGTTTTGTAGATCGTTCTTTGGACCCTTCTTGTGAATGGGTACCACCCATCCTTCTTTGGTTTCCTCGGGCCAGGTGTTTGGATCTGTTTCAAGCAGTTGTATGACGCTCTTGAAAATTTCTCTTTTTGTTGTGTTGTCAGCGGCATTGATCCCAACTGGCGCACTCCGTCGATCCCTGACGCGCCGTCCTTCATGAGAGCAACTTCTCGCTCCACTTCCTACACTGTGAATTCCATTTCTATTTTCCGTGCTGCTTCTCGTGCCACAGTGTCCCTTCTTTGTTCCAGACTATCGATTAAGGATTTTATTTCTCCCTCCGGTCGGTCATATCTCGTTGCCGAGACTTGCATGAAATGCTCTTTGCATTCCTCCGGGCTGAAGAATTCGTCCTCAACACAGCTATTATTGTCTTTGATGCCAATCCTTCTCAAGGTTTTATACAGGATTCTCATATCGCCGCTAGTTTCGGCTCTTTTGGCTTCGTTGACAATCTCTAGCCACCATTCTTCTTCCCACTCTTTCTGTCTTTTGAAATCCTTTCTAGCTTTCCGTCTCTCTTCCTTCGCTGCTTCGTTTCCGTCTTGTGCTCGAGCTGTTAGTTCGCACATTTTCTTTTGCGCCCTTTCTATTTCCTCTTTGTGCCTCTCCAACGCGGGGTTTAGGGGTTGTTTTTCTACTGTGCCGCACACTTCTTCCCCTACTTTCTTCATCGCCTTTGCTGTTTGTGTCCAGTCTTCGAGCTCTTCTGTAGCTAATTTATTGGCGTATTCCGTTGCCTTTGTCACCGTTCTTAGTTTTTCCCAGTCTATTTTCTTCTTGGGTTGGCTGGTCTTGTTATTGCGCTTCCTGTCAAGAGAGTTATTCAGGGTACAGCACATCGCTTTCGGTCTGTGGTCGCTTAGATCCTTGCTCGTCGGTACCGTGAAAATCCTCCGTGCGCGTTTTGCCCGGTCTTGTTGTTTCATAATGAAGCCGTCTATTTCATGCCATGTTCTGTTCTTGGGATGCTTCCATGTTCCTCTCCTCTTGTGGCTGAAAAAGGAGTTGCACCAGGCTAGGCTGTTCTCTTGGCACCATTCCAGTAGGTTCATACCCGCTGCGTTTGTCTTGCCTAAACCGTGGATACCCGCCGTCTGGTCCGCCCCCCTATTAGCACTCTCCCCTACCACTGAGTTGAAGTCGCCCCCTATTATGACCATGTCCTTGCTCTCGATTAGGGTAGAGAGCTCCTCTCTGTACCTCATGAACTCGATACTGAGGCCTTCCCAGAGTGGTTGATATGTCGAGATAAACCGGTAGCCATCCACGTCTATCGAGATGCTTCTCTCCCGGATTACTCTCCTATAACCTTGATCTGCCCATTTCGAGGCCCACTGGTCCCTTAGGAAAATGCCACTTCTTTTTCCATGGATCAATACTCTGAAAATCTCCCTGGCCTTGATCCATTTGAAGACTTCTTCTTGTTCTTGGAGTTCGCTCATCATTACCACTTCCGCCTTGCTGTTGGCTATGGCTTTAACAATCTCCGCGAATCTGTTTCTTTTCGGGAAACTAACTCGCGCCCTTTGGATAGTCCAAGCCCACAGCGTGATAGTCTCCTCCCTTCCTTTGTTTCTTGCGTCCTTCATCCAATTCTCATGTCGCTCTCTTTGCCTTCGCTGTCTCTTCTCTCTTTTGTTCCTCTTTCTTCTGATCCGTTTGCTGTCGGTTTGCTGGCGGGGGGGGGGGAGCAGGGCAGCATGTGGCCTTGAAACTTGCGTCCCACCTTCCATTCTCTCCTAGGTCGGTGCAGCCCCAATGTACCCACTTCCCACATCCGTTGCATTTTACTGACCACTGACTCTTTGATCGCACACTGCACACTTCTACACTTTCGGACCTGGGTTTGGTTCCACATCGTTGTACAGATGTAGGGACACCAGAGATTCCGTGTGCCGCAGGGTGTGACGGATCGCCTTCATCGAGGGACGGTTGGCTGGGCCGTCTCTGTTTTGGGGTGTGTTTGAGAGACTCCGCCCGGCAGTGTGACCTAAGTCTGACTCACTGCCGGGCCTTGTCCCCCCCCCCCGCTTGGTATGGTCTTTGTTCGATTTCTCTCTGCGCTTTTCTCCCCGGGCAGGCGCCAAACCATCGAAAAGCATCGTGACACACTTCTTCTTCTTCTTCTTCTTCCATCATTTTCTTCTTCTTCTTTTTCTTAAAAGTTCTTTCTAGTTGAACTTCCAGCTATTGCCAACTATATACAGCGCTGTAAACATTTATTTTACCCCCTCTGAACTCATTGAAATAGGGTACTAGAATTTTTGTCCCGTAAATAACTTTGTTCTCAGGACTTCTGGTCGCATCTCAAGTGGTACCTTGTTTTCATAATTAATTCAAATTCTTAGAGTTCTCGGCCCACTTAGCCTGGAGGCGACGAATACGCTGGGGATGGCAAAGGCCCCTTTTTTCGAACGGGAAATCTTAAGTTTCATTAAAATTGTCGGCCAATTATTTGTCTGCTCATCTTTTGTCGGCTTAGTTGCCACATCTTGGAAGCGTTTTTTTAACGTTGCTTTTAGTGCTTGATTTAATCCTGCCTTTCGCAATTTTACTTACCTTGACTTCGTATTTCTTTTTTTTTCGTTTCCCTTAAACATTTTATTCGGCCCAAATTATCTATACCTATTTTTTCATCGGCTTCTAATATTGGGTGGTTTCAGGGGAAACGCATTTGTTTCGCCCCCTCCGCACTTTTCAATTTCATGTTGGTCATATTTTTACCGCTCGGTTTGTTGGAATTTCTTTTTTTAATTTTTTTTTCCGGCTTATAATATATCGATTTATAGGCCTCATTTTGAGTCGTTTGAAGAGCAAAAAGGTTTTATCTAAACATTTTGATGCAGGACTTGTGTGTCTGCTGAAGAATTGTCGGCTTAAACTAGTGAAAAAATGTGATCAAATTAGATGCATATTTGGTCAGCTTTTTTAAGAGTTGATGAAATAGTGGAGTCTCTTAAATAGGTCGTGATGATTTTTTTTTTCAGGAAGTTTAAAAATTTGTTCACACTAAGATTTGATTTGCTGCGTTTTGATTTTGATTTTTTCAAGTTCAGTTCATTTTTTTAAAATCAAAATAAGGATATTCCACTATCGTAAAGCAACAGTGAAAATGTCAAGACAAACGTGATGGACTTCTAATTTCGAAAAAGGATTTTTTTTCAGATTTCCCAGTGGGGTAACAAGTTTTCTATTGATGCAGTTTTTTCATGAAAGGGGTTGTTTTATAAAAAAAAATTCTCAGTCGTTAATTGTTGTAGCTATTCAAAAAGCTTTAGGGCCATTAATTTGTCCATCTAAAAGGCTTTAGGGCCATCTTATGAATGCACTTAGGTATATATGCTTTTTTGAAATTGATTGAAATTCGACTGCTGAAGTTAACGTGAATAGCGCTATCCAAATACGAAGGTGGAAATGGCGCGAAAAAACGAGAACAGTTTTGTTTCAAAAGTGGAATTTAATTTTTAGATTTCCAGCAGAATAAAAACTTTACATATTGATCCAGTTTTCTCAAGTTGGGTTAGTTTTATTAAAAAAGCGCCAATCATAAATTGTTTAAGAGATTCAAAGAGCTTAAAGGGTATCTATTTTTTTCTTTAAAAATCGAAAGATTTTTTAAACAAAGTCAGTGTTTTTTTTTACTTGCGTTCATTACTCTTTTCCAACTGTCAGTTGGCTTTATTTAAGTTGATGAACTGTTAGCCTGCTTTCCTCGATGCAATGATCGTCCAGAAAAGTAAAAAAAAATACACTATACAAATTTTGATTTTTTCCTATTTTTTCTCGACACAAAAAAACTTCAGTTGGCCAATTCGTTGCGTGCTTTTCACTCATCACCCACATGCTCACGTTTGATAATGCCTGTAGTTGTGTTTTGCCGTCTTTGCTTGGAGGAGAGATTGCTCAATTGGTCTGTTTGATAATGCCTGTAATTGTGTTTTGCCGTCTTTGCTTGGAGGAGAGATTGCTCAATTCGCCCGTTTGATAATGCCTGTAGTTGTGTTTTGCCGTCTTTGCTTGGAGAAGAGATTGCTCAATTGGTCCGTTTGTTAATGCCTGTAATTGTGTTTTGCCGTCTTTGCTTGGAGGAGAGATTGCTCAATTGGTCCGTTTGATAATGCCTGTAGTTGTGTTTTGCCGTCTTTGCTTGGAGGAGAGATTGCTCAATTGGTGCGTTTGATAATGCCTGTAGTTGTGTTTTGCCGTCTTTGCTTGGAGGAGAGATTGCTCAATTGGTCTGTTTGATAATGCCTCTAGTTGTGTTTTGCCGTCTTTGCTTGGAGGAGAGATTGCTCAATTGGTCCGTTTGATAATGCCCGTAATTGTGTTTTGCCGTCTTTGCTACGAGGAGAGATTGCTCAATTGGTCCGTTTGATAATGCCTTTAGTTGTGTTTCGCCGTCTTTGCTTGGAGGAGAGATTGCTCAGTTGGTATGTTTGATAATGCCCGTAGTTGTGTTTTGCCGTCTTTGCTTGGAGGAGAGATTGCTCAATTGGTCCGTTTGATAATGCCTGTAGTTTGTGTTTTGCCGTCTTTGCTTGGAGGAGAGGTTGCTCAATTGGTCTGTCTGATTATGCCTGTAGTTGTGTTTTGCCGTCTTTGCTTGGAGGAGAGATTGCTCAATTGGTCCGTTTGATAATGCCTGTAGTTGTGTTTTGCCGTCTTTGCTTGGAGGGAGATTGCTCAATTGGTCCGTTTGATAATGCCTGTAGTTGTGTTTTGCCGTCTTTGCTTGGAGGAGAGATTGCTCAATTGGTCCGTTTGATAATGCCTGTAGTTGTGTATTGCCGTCTTTGCTTGGAGGAGAGATTGCTCAATTGGTCCGTTTGATAATGCCTGTAGTTGTGTTTTGCCGTCTTTGCTTGGAGGAGAGATTGCTCAATTGGTCCGTTTGATAATGCCTGTAGTTTTTTTGCCGTCTTTGCTTGGAGGAGAGATTGCTCAATTGGTCTGTTTGATAATGCCTCTAGTTGTGTTTTGCCGTCTTTGCTTGGAGGAGAGATTGCTCAATTGGTCCGTTTGATAATGCCCGTAGTTGTGTTTTGCCGTCTTTGCTTGGAGGAGAGATTGCTCAATTGGTCCGTTTGATAATGCCTGTAGTTTGTGTTTTGCCGTCTTTGATTGGAGGAGAGGTTGCTCAATTGGTGCGTTTGATAATGCCCGTAGTTGTGTTTTGCCGTCTTTGCTTGGAGGAGAGATTGCTCAATTGGTCCGTTTGATAATGCCTGTAGTTTGTGTTTTGCCGTCTTTGCTTGGAGGAGAGATTGCTCAATTGGTCCGTTTGATAATGCCCGTAGTTGTGTTTTGCCGTCTTTGCTTGGAGGAGAGATTGCTCAATTGGTCCGTTTGATAATGCCTGTAGTTTGTGTTTTGCCGTCTTTGATTGGAGGAGAGGTTGATCAATTGGTGCGTTTGATAATGCCCGTAGTTGTGTTTTGCCGTCTTTGCTTGGAGGAGAGATTGCTCAATTGGTCCGTTTGATAATGCCTGTAGTTTGTGTTTTGCCGTCTTTGATTGGAGGAGAGGTTGATCAATTGGTGCGTTTGATAATGCCCGTAGTTGTGTTTTGCCGTCTTTGCTTGGAGGAGAGATTGCTCAATTGGTCCGTTTGATAATGCCTGTAGTTTGTGTTTTGCCGTCTTTGATTGGAGGAGAGGTTGCTCAATTGGTCTGTTTGATAATGCCTGTAGTTGTGTTTTGCCGTCTTTGCTTGGAGGAGAGATTGCTCAATTGGTCCGTTTGATAATGCCTGTAGATGTGTTTTGCCGTCATTGCTTGGAGGAGAGATTGCTCAATTGGTCCGTTTGATAATGCCTGTAGTTGTGTATTGCCGTCTTTGCTTGGAGGAGAGATTGCTCAATTGGTCCGTTTGATAATGCCTGTAGTTGTGTTTTGCCGTCTTTGCTTGGAGGAGAGATTGCTCAATTGGTCTGTTTGACAATGCCTCTAGTTGTGTTTTGCCGTCTTTGCTTGGAGGAGAGATTGCTCAATTGGTCCGTTTGATAATGCCTGTAGTTGTGTATTGCCGTCTTTGCTTGGAGGAGAGATTGCTCAATTGGTCCGTTTGATAATGCCTGTAGTTGTGTTTTGCCGTCTTTGCTTGGAGGAGAGATTGCTCAATTGGTCTGTTTGACAATGCCTCTAGTTGTGTTTTGCCGTCTTTGCTTCGAGGAGAGATTGCTCAATTGGTCCTTTTGATAATGCCTCTAGTTGTGTTTTGCCGTCTTTGCTTGGAGGAGAGGTTGCTCAATTGGTCTGTTTGATAATGCCTCTAGTTGTGTTTTGCCGTCTTTGCTTCGAGGAGAGATTGCTCAATTGGTCCTTTTGATAATGCCTCTAGTTGTGTTTTGCCGTCTTTGCTTGGAGGAGAGATTGCTCAATTGGTCTGTTTGATAATGCCTCTAGTTGTGTTTTGCCGTCTTTGCTTGGAGGAGAGGTTGCTCAATTGGTCCGTTTGATCAAGACTTAATTCAGACGAGACAAATTGAGATGCAATTCAGACTGTGATTGTTTGCTTTTGCCTTAATTAAGACGGTTATACAAACCTTGTTTCGCTTATTTTGTAGTTATCCTAGAAAACGGAAAGATTGAAAAGAGTTTTTAGTAGCAGAGCAACCGGTTTTCTTTTTGAAGTGTAAAAGAATGAAGTTAATTTCACTTATATAAGTCTTGATGATTTTTTATATTTTTTGCTTATTTTTTATACGAAAAAGTGTTAAAATGCTCTTATAACTACAGAAGTGCAGTCGCACATATTAATGCATTTTTGTATATTTGTTTTAAAGTTCCATTCAAGTTAATCTGCTAAAAATAGGTAAATTGTGCTCTCCAATTACGAAAGTGGAAACATTGCAAAAAAATATGGGCTTCTAGTTTCGAATGTTTTTTTAAAAAATATTTCCCATCGGAAAAAAAGTTTTACCGATTGATCCAATTTTCATAAGTTGATTTGAAAAAGAAGTCAATCATAATTTTTTTTAAACCTGATTAATATGTAATTTTTTTTCGAAATTCGAAAGAACAATATTCAATAATTCGAAAGAAAAATATTCAAAATTTTTCAATCATTTTTTTCGGTTTTCTTGTTCTTATACTTTGCCTGCCTTTTTGTGGGCTCTGATTTTGTTTGGAACAAGTTGAAAAATTTTTGATGATAAGTGTGGCATGGTTAAGTTTATGGCCAGAACTGGGTGGGATGTGATGTGTCTGTATTGTTGTATTGTGTGTTGTAGGGAGGAAGACGGGGGAGGTGTTGGGGGTGATTGACAGGGGCAACAACAGTGTGGTGACTCTGCTGAACTACATTCTGTTCACGATTCTGCCCACCATAGCCGACATTCTCATAGCCATTGTGTACTTTGTGTTCGCCTTCAACCTCTACTTTGGCCTGATAGTGTTCGGCTGTCTGAGTGCTTACGTGGCCGCCACAATCACAATATCCGAGTGGAGGACCAAGTTCAGGCGCGAGGTCAACAGACTGGACAATGCCTCACGTACAAAGGTACTAATAGCAGGAAACAGGGCAAGATACTCTCACTTATACGCACACACGCACAAACACACTATTTAGATGAAATGTAGCAACTGTTTATCATGTCCGCCTATAGCAAGCAGGTCGACTCAGCAGTCGCCGCTAGTCTCTCTCTACTCCCGTCTGTCAGCCAAAACATGTTTATTTCAATGTCTCAACTAAAGTGGTCTCATTTATTTATCACCCATATTTTTTGGTATTCACTTGAGCATTATAAGACGATTTGTTGCCCAGGAGGACATAGACAAGCACAGAAGCAGTTCAAATATTCGCGTTTAACACCTGTTCACATAAATTGGCATGAAGTTTTAGCTGCTGTGCTGTCTCACGGTTAACTGATAGAAGCGTGAATGTGAAGCGACAAGCAGTGTGTGGATTGAGATGGAGTGTTTGCTGCTTCTGCTTGCTTGATGATGTGAAGTAGTTGTTGTGTTATGTTGTGTGTTGATTAGGCAGTGGACTCCCTCATCAACTTCGAGACTGTCAAGTACTATGGGGCTGAGAAGTACGAGGTGGAGCGATACGAGAGGAGTCTTCTCAGCTACCAGGAGATGCAGTGGAACAACCTCGCCTCTCTCCAGCTCCTCAATCTAGTCCAGATTGTCATCGTCAACATGGGACTGTTCGCCGGCTGTCTCCTCTGTGCCTACTACATCATCGACCATCACAGGTTATCAACACTACTCTTGCCCCTCCCTTTCTTTAAACTAAGGCAGCATGCTCTCATACTACCATGTACCTTTTTTAAACATAAGTCCCAAATAAAAGTGTTCATTAAATGGTTATATGGCATTTGTATCTACGCTTTGAAAAGTTTTTACTTTTTTCTTGAAAACTACTTCACCGATTTAAAGAAACATTCTTCCAATGGAATGACGGGTTACGCCAATATTTGTCTTGTATATCACGCTAGTCTTTTTAATAGCTCAATCCAAAGAACAAGTGGTAGAAAGTCGTTGTGCTCGGGTGGTTTTTTTTTCTTCAGACTTTTTAACTAGCCATTTTTGACGGAATTTTTCTATATCATTCGAAAGGTATTGTTGCCTTGAGCTTAAATTTGAAAAGATATCTCACCGGCGATTATTTTTCGTAAAGTTATGGGGGGTTAAAGATTGGCATTTTGGCGAATTTGGGGCAATTAACGCGCGATATATTTCGCGCTATTAAAGCGTAAGCGGAGATTTAATTCGTCTTAGAAATTGTTCCAAATTGGTTGAAGGAAGCCTATTTGCCATAATTGATTTGTTACTAGAAGCGAAATTTATCACTTTGTATTTTGTATGGCGTGTGGGGAGATGATTTTCACAAAAAACTAAAATGTTTATTTTTTTTTACATCAAGTTTTTTCAAGTTATTACTGCTTCATAGACCTTAAAAGGCAGTCGGAACATTCAGGGCTTCGCCCTGATACGAGCAGTCTTGTTAAATATTTAGGCAGTTTTTGGGAAACCTTTTTCTTTTGTCAAAAAATACTCTGCCAATTCTACGATCAAGGATTCAACCGAAAACAAAAGAAACTAGGCATATTCCATGCATAAATTGTTTCTAAGTTCTTTTCTGTTGAAAAGGCAGCATGGCCTTATGAAAAGTTGCTTTTAAGAGTCGATGAAGGTTGTTCGGACTGTAACATAGGTCGCCTTGATTTGTTTTTTTTTTCAGGAAAAGTCTAAAATTTGTTCAGGACCAAATCTACTTTTCGCGTTTTGACTTTTAATTTCTTTTAAGGTCGCTTCATTTCTTCTGTTAAAAGGAAAGCAAACTCCACTATCGAACAGAAAAAATGTTAAGGTCTTGAAAAATGAGATCGAACTTAAGTTAGGAAATTTGAATTTAGTTTTCAGGTTTCCAGCGAAATAAAATAGTTACCTATTGATCCAGTTTTCTCAAATTGAGATTATTTTGTCGAAAAATTGCCAATCATAAATTGTTTTAGAAATTCAACGAGCCTTAGGGACATCTATATTTTCCTTTTAAATTCGAAAGTTCAGTTTTTTTTTAAAACATGTCAGTTTTTTTCTGTTTAATTGAGTTCATTGACTCTTTTCCAACGGTCTGTTGGCTATGTTTTGAATTTTTTACTGCTTTTGAGGTTTTTTCTCTAGATTTACCCTGCCAAATTTGAGATTAAGGGTTCAATCGAAGGAAAAACTTTTGGGGATCTGCCCTGCATCGGGAGCATTCCCCTGCTTTTGTAGAGAAATCGCTATGGATTTATGAAAAGTCAAATTTTATTTTTTTGACCGTTTTTTAGAATTTTTTTCAAGGGTGCTTTTGAAGCAATCAGTTCTGATCAAATGTAATTCTAGTTGTGTTAATTTGTTGTTTAGATCTGTGGGAACATTTGTCCTGTACACGACTTACATTGTGCAGCTGTACGGACCCCTCAACTTCCTGGGCACGTGGTTCCGAATGATCCAGCAGTCGTTCATAGACATGGAGAACATGCTGGACCTGTTCATGGAGTGTCCAGAAGTACAAGACAAGAATGACTGCACCCCCCTAGTGATCAGCGGGGGAGAGATAGAGTTCGAGCAAGTGTGTTTTCATTACACGCCCGAAAAGCCAATTCTCTCAAATGTCTCCTTCAAGGTCAGCTTTAACTACTATTGCAATATATGATTGAGACTCCGAAATGAAATGCTGCTTTAAATGCTGAAAAATTGACAGGCTGTAGGGATGCAGGTGAAGATGTGTTGAAGATTGTTTTTTGCTGGTTGTAGGTTCCTGCTGGGAAGACAGTGGCCATAGTGGGTCCCTCGGGTGGGGGAAAGAGTACCATAATCAGACTGCTGTTCCGCTTCTATGACATCCATAGTGGGCGCATCAGCATAGACGGGGAGGACATCAGCCGAGTGAGTCAGCAGAGTCTGAGGAGCAACATTGGAGTGGTGCCCCAAGACACTGTCCTCTTCAACGACACCATCAGGTCAGACAGGCAGGCACACATCAGCTGCACCATCTTCTCCCTTTTTGCATTATTCGCAGCCCCTTAGACAATTGTTCATTCATGACCAGCCTCATCTTCAGATTAGCATCATTAACGAGCAAGGGAACAGAACAGAGCAACATAAGAGAACGAATGAATGCTCAGCTCTTCATAATTAGATGTGCCATGTCAATCGTACTTTGTTTTCGTTGCAGGTATAATATCGAGTATGGTCGACACGGGGCCGATGAGAAGGACATCTATGAGGCAGCGGCCAGGGCGGACATCCACGCGAGGATAGAACAGTTTCCCGACCAGTACGAAACTCTGGTGGGGGAGAGGGGACTGAAGCTGAGTGGGGGAGAGAAGCAGCGGGTGGCCATTGCCAGGACTGTCCTCAAGGTAAGCAAAGTGCATAGCTATGAAGTCAGCTGGCTGTTCGCATATAATCAAACATTCTGTGTCATTACATCATCGATTGAACATTGCGGGTCATGGCACCAAAGCGAAGGCTCCCCTACAGTTGCTTGAATAATGTTGAGCAGCTCGAACTAACTCGTATTTTGCTTGGAATTGACCTGCCCATGCGTCCCCGTAGTATGGTTGCCGCCCAGGTTGACTCGAAGTAATCAACTTAATCGAGCACTGTGCTGCATACAATCGAACACTTTCAAAAATGGCGAGCTTCTAAGGCACATCGGAAACAATGAAGACGAAATGAACGTGTTTCAGATGCTCATAATTTTCAATTAATTTAATTGTTTTTCTTTCATTTCATTTAGTATTGAACTTCAAATTAACTTTTTGCTCGTATGATTTTGATCACCCCAAAACATACGCAGTACAACTTGCTCAGTTCGCGCAGCTCTTCATAGCGCATCAAGTAGTTTTAAGTTTTCTGCTTATTGTCACTTGCTACCAATTGACGCGTGCTTAATTTAACCGTCTTTTTTAATAAGCTGCGAGTCGTCGCTAGCGACAAGTTGTCGCCTCATGGACATTGGGTAGAAATCTTGATTCTGTGTTTATCGATTAGTTTTTGAATACCATTTAGAACCGCAACTGCATATTAGCTGTGCAGTATTGAATGTCAATGAACGAATTGAAAACACTTACTTAGGTGTTGTGTAATTTCAGGCTAAACTTAGTAAATTGATCGCGATCAACTATGATTTTCAGCGAATTGATTTTTAATTTCATTTTTAGTTTCAATTGTAATTCATTGGCGAAAATAAAGCAATTTACGCTTTTCATTTACAAAAGTGCTAATGGCGCGAGAAAACGTGAAAGAATTTGGGGTTTCCAACCGATTCACCTAGCTTCTTTAATTCGGTAATTTTAAATCGAAAAACTATCCAGCATAAGGTTTATTGAATTTCAAATAGCTTCAATGTGATGTAACTCATCTCAAATTTTATTTTTTTTGCGGTTTGATTTTTGCAGTTTGCTTTAATGTGATGTAACTTCTCAGTACTCATTGAACCGTGAGAAGACTCTTTTTTTAGATTTTGTGGTTTTCATCAATTTTTTCTGAAAAATTCTCAAACATTTTTTTGCAGTTTGAATTTGGGTTTTGCGAATGTGCAAAGAATGTGTAAATGACGCAAAAAATACGCGAATGCAGTATAGGATCGAAAAGGGTTTTAATTTATAGGTTCCCTATCGGAAAAAAAATGGATATTATTGGCCCTGTTTCTTCTGGTTGGTTTATGAAAAGTTGTCAATCATCACGCTTGTAGTGTAATATTACAGCTATTCTTTTTTCCAACGTAAGTCAAAACTATTGTTGGCGTTTTTTGGGACACCCTTACGGCTTTTTGATTGCATGAGCTTTGACATCCGATTATTAATAAGTTAACACAGTTGATGCATTTTTAATTCATCAAGTGAACCGAAAAAAGCTATTTGTTCAAACAACATAATATTAATAATGAAAACTAGATTTTCTAACTCAATGTATCTCGCAATTTTTTGAAATGCATAAATTTATACATAAGGTGGTTTTATGTTTTTCGATTTGTTGCGTGCAAAGTTAGTGTGGATACCTTCAGTTTGTTTTTTTTTCAAATTTTTATATTTGAGTATATTTGTTTTTGGTGCCATTTTGCTAAATCGCACTGGCAATTTAATAGCATATGTAGTTGCTTTGTTCGTAACTAGTGTTTTTCGGTTGCTGAGCTTGCGTGGATAGTGCTGAGACTCAAAACCTCTTGATTGCAGTAGGTCGGAGATTCGAATCCTACACGTAGCCTAGTTTTTGCTAATTCGTGGCATATTTCTATTTTTTCTTATTTCACTTGATAGAGCTGCTTTTTGGCCGTGTTATGCAAGTGGGGTTTGACATTTGATTAGGAAAAAATTAATACGGCTGATGCATTTTTGAATCATCAAATGAACCGTGTTTTAAACAGCAGTACAATGATAAAAAGCTCGATTTCCGAATTTTTCCAACTCAATGTACCTCGCAAAATTTTTTGAAATGCATATTTTATGCATAATTTGGCTTTATGCTTTCCAAGAATTACATGCAAAATTGAGTCGATTTGTGTTTGGTGCCACTTTTACTTCATCGCACTGACAATTCATTAGCATCTGTAGCTGCTTTATTTATGGACAGTGTATGTAGCTGCTTCATTTATGGACAGTGGAATGTGATTTGACAATGGTCCGTGGCGCAGATGAGAGGACAGGGGATCTAAATCTTCTGGTTGTTGGATCGATTCGGCCACAACAAAAATTTTCATTTTCAAGGCTTTTTTTTATCTTTGCTTATTTTTCTTTTTAGGGCTGCTTTGGCTCTTTTCTACTCCCTCCCCCCACATTTGAAATTAATTTTTGAAAAACCTAATTGTCATTGTTTTAATGCAATGAAATTTGGGATGATGAACAAATTAACAATTGTGAACGTATTTGTTCTTCATATTTCGTAACATCATGCATTTAGACATAATAAGACGAAAAACGACTATGAAAACAGGGAATTTGAAATGTCGGGAGGTGGAGTTGAAAAAAAGCTTGCTTTTAGTCATTTTCTTGCTGATGTTTGTGAAGCGCAGCTTCGCCTTTGTGTTAATATTCTCGAAGTTAAAGAACTTAAAAGTGAAAGTTGAAAAATGATAATTGAAGTTTCTGTTGGCTATGTTAAGCTGGTGAAGTTGTAATTAAATTAGCTTAATTGTTGTTTTGTCTTAAGGCGCCCAAGGTGATCCTGTTGGACGAAGCGACCTCAGCTCTGGACACGAAGACGGAAAGAAACATCCAGAGTGCACTGGATGACGTCAGCAAAGACAGGACCACGCTGGTAGTGGCCCACAGACTGTCGACTGTGGTCAATGCGGACATGATCATGGTCCTCAAGGACGGGGTCATAGTGGAGAGGGGGACTCATCAGGAACTGCTGGACACTGAGGGAAGTGTGTATGGGGAGATGTGGAGTCAGCAGGCGACTTCATTTGTGACTGAGATGGAAACACTAAAAGAAACAGAAACTGAAACAGAAACGGACAAGGAGAAATAATGCAGCCAAAAAGAATATCAGGAAAAGACTTTGATATAAATGGCCAGTACATAATAGAGTGTTATTATTCGACCGCTCACAAAAAAATTGTCATAATCTATTGAGTGTTAGTGGAAAGAATAGTTTGGTTGTGAATCTCTAGTGATAACACTGGTTACGTATCTAGTGTAGCATAGTATAAATTAATTCAGCAATGTGCATTGGAAAAGGGAAGGGAAGCGCGCAAACTAGAAGGGCCGAATGACCGCAATGAAGTTGAGCAAATCGGTATTCTGTATTCAAAAAAATCCAAAAGAGCAAATCTGTGTTAGTCTAGTAAAATCAACAGATCGTGCAATCGGACTGATACTTGATGCGTGCTTGCCAGACCAGATACACCACTGTTTATCGGAGTTCGGTTCGGCTGCTGCCAGACTGCTCGTGAGGTTTTTGTTCCCATCACTTCACGAAATGAAGGGAAGAAGTTATGGATTAGCGCGTTTTTTTTTTTGTATCTCTTGTAATTTTAGTATCTCAAGGAAAGCTCAAAGGGATGGATAGAGTGTAGTATCACATGAAAGACCTATTGGAGGTGATTTGATTGGAGTTTAAAACCATCGGAAAGTTGCTCACGTCCTGAGCTCAAATTTGAAAAGATATTTCACGGTGATTTCATCCGTCTCAAAAACATTGCAGCTTGATTTGAGGCAAGCTATTTGGTCTAATTGACACGTTACTAGACGCTCGATACACCAACTTGTGCTTCAAATAATGATGAGAGACTTGACTTGATATGAGCAGTTGTCTTGTACGGTTGGTGGTTTGTTGCATTTGTAACTAGTGACAAACTTCAGAAGCTAAGCGTACGTCAACATATCCTGGTTATAACAGCCGCCTTTAATCTACTTAGGAGTATGTTGTGTTGCTTTACTTTCACCCTATGACTTTCAGCCACTTTTTCTAGTTCTCTGTGGTTTGCTACCTTTTTCAGCCAGGTTAATTATTCCATATTTTCAGTTGTCCTAATATGCTGTAACGGTGCTGTTTGTATTGAGATTTTGATAGATATAGGAAGTATTCTTAAATAGATAATAATCAATAATGCTATCCAAAGGGAGCTATTCGAAAGTGAATAAACGCATCTTGCGGAATTGCATTCCCACTTTCTCGTTAATATTCCTTGTGTTGTTTTAAGAGATAGTTATACAAAGATTTAATTAATTGTTTCACTCTATGTTTTTCTGTCGATACAGGTATCGGTTTGGCCTGCGGGACCTGGCTGGACGTAGAGATTCGAAAAAAAACAATGTTTTTTGTTACATCTCGTAAGTCCTTAAATGCCTCCAAAAGGCACGATTCGCATGCAGTTTCGTTTGAATTTCCGAGTTTCGTTTGAAATCTGTTCATGTTGGTTGTAAACCAACTCTGAATTTTTTTCCTTCTGTGTTCCGAGCATTAAAAAAAGAGAGGAACTTTGTATTCTGGAAGTATTTGAAAGCAATGAACAGAGTGAGTACTCTTTAATAGTTCTTGGTGAGTTTTTTGCGATTTTTTTTAGAAAAGTTCTCAAAATTTGTTCACGCTCAGTTTTGATTTTTGGCGGTTTGGCTTTTAATTTCTTTTAAAGTCACTTTATTTCCTTTGTTAAAAGGAAGGCAACCTCCATTATCGAACAGCACAAATGTAAAGGTAACGAAAAAAGATCGACTTCCAGTTGGGAATCGACTCTAGATTTTTTCGGTCAACATAATTGTTTAAGTCTGCTCTATTGGTTTTGTTTTGAACTAAGCCGCGATGCTCTATTGGTTTTGTTTTGAACTAAGCCACCTAATCGCGAATTCTTTCTCGGGAAATCTGATGTTAACTGCTAGTTTTGTGTGATTATGCTGCATTGGGGAGGGCGTACCCTGTTATAATTCATGAATGTAGTGAATAATCTTTTATAGGTCTTAGTGATTTTTTTGTTTGTTTTTCTCAGGAAAAATTCAAGTTTGTTCACACTCAAATTTACTTTTTTGTCTTTTGAGTTTTAGTTCAGATTCGAGCGAGTTCAGCGATCTAGTAAGGTATGTTGAATGAAAATTTTGAGACTTATAGTCCAAACAACTCGATTTTACTAAAAAGAAAACTAATTTCAGTCAGCGTTTCCTTAGTAAAAAAAGGTTTGAGAAAAAACTTGAAATAATAGCAATTTTGTTAAGTCTGTTCAATGTGATGTTTTTTTTTCGTTTTGTTTTCTATTGCTGAAAACATGTGATCCATTATGTCTAATACATAAGTTTTCCAACTGTTTCTGTAGTTCTCGAATCGCAGCACGCATTAAAAACGACCCTAAATTGATGAAGAAAAGAAAAAACTTTTTTGTAGTTTGTTTATGAATGTAGTCGGAAAGTTCTGTAAGACTTTCACAGAAACCAGCTCTTCTTATTTTTTTGGTGTTTTATCCAGCTTTAAAGGTTTCGGCTAATCTTATACTGGCTTTTTGAATTCATAGTGCTTCATGTGAAGCTGTAGTAAAATTTTGAATTCAAGTCTGTGCTGCGGTATGTAAAATTTTTTGTAGCTCATTGTTTGTTGAGATTTTTTTGGCTCAAAGGGCGTGATGATTTTCGTCTCTTATTGAAGTCGTGATGAGTTTTTTAAGGAAAAACTTAAAACTTGATTCGAACTTAGGAAAGTTTGCGGTTTGAAAATGCTTCCCTTTGAAGTTCTGTTCATTTCTTTTCTTAAAAAAAGGTAAACTCGACTATCGATCTGCAAAACTTAACAAAAAAGATAACAAAAAATGGATTTAAGTTTTCATGTCTATTGCGGTAAAGAAAATTTTCCTATCGATAGTTTTTGTCGAATTGGTTTGATTTTATCAAAAAAGTTTAATCATAAATTGTTCTTGATGTTCATAGAGGTGTATGTCTTTACATTTTTTTAGAAACTAGAGTTGAAGTTTTTTTTCGCAAAAAAAAACAGTCCGTTTTTTGCATGTGTCGACTTTTTTCCATCATTCAGTAGGCTATGTTTTTTTTTGCAGATTTACTTTTTCTATATTTTGCTTAACCTTTCTCGAACTTACTTTTTTTAAACTTTTTTTTTAAACAAGGATAGCCGGTTACTGTGCAAGTGGCACAGAATGTTCCTGCCATATTCTGATATCAAACAGTTTTTTCAAATTATTGTCGTTGTTTTTGGCGTGGTGTGATAAAAGAGTTGAACAAAAAAACTAGTGATTGAGTATTTTCGACAGCCATAGTAAAATAAGCAACTTGAAAATAATTTTTCTTTTCAGAAAAAAATACTTGAAAAATTTAAAATGTTTTTGTTTCACGTCTTGCAGTTTTTGAATTTTTTGATTCCAAAAACTCGCTAAAATACTCAATGTAAACAAAGGTTACTCAAGTAAAACTAAGTTTAAATTAAGCTATTGTAAACTTTTAAGGAGCGAAATAAAATTGCTCGCTCGCTTTACCTGCTCGAAATAATAGGAAAAATCAAACCGGTTTTTCTCGACGGGGTTACAGTTTTTTTGATAAAAAATTTTAAATTCGGTTCAAATCACGACTGTAAGGGCTTTATCATAATATATCACTCAAATCAGTCCAATGATTATTTTTGGTACCTGATTTTGGGTGGAAATCAAAAAGAAAAAAAGAAAAAAACTTAAGCTGCCTCACGCTGTCTCGGGTTACTATAAAACTGGGCTTCAAAAATATATTTGACAATCAATATGTCGGGTAAAATCCGTCTCTGAAAAATCAAAAAATGAACACAATTTTCTCAATTTTTGGTGTAACTTTGTTTTCTTCATAGTGAGCGCTTGTTTGAGAAAGGGACATAATCCTTCAGCCAACGCTGCTAAACATTAATTTCGTAAGCTCGTTCTCTCATAGCGCTTTCGTTGGTCCAAACTTTCATCAAGTGCTCACCCAAGAGAAAATGGTAAAGCGTTAAAGCTTCCAAAAGAAATGAAAAACTTGATTCGAACGTAGGAAAGTTTGCGGTTTGACAAATGCTTCCCTTTGAAGTTCTGTTCATTTCTTTTCTTAAAAAAAGGTAAACTCCACTATCGATCAGCAAAACTTAACAAAAAAGATAACAAAAAATGGATTTAATTTTTCATGTCTATTGCGGTAAAGAAAATTTTCCTATCGATAGTTTTTGTCGAATTGGTTTGATTTTATCAAAAAAGTTTAATCATAAATTGTTTTTGATGTTCATAGAGGTGTATGGCTTTACATTTTTTTTAGAAACTAGAGTTGAAGTTTTTTTTTCGCAAAAAAAAACAGTCCGTTTTTTTGCATGTGTTGACTTTTTTCCATCATTCAGTTGGCTATGTTTTTTTTTGCAGATTTACTTTTTCTATATTTTGCTTAACCTTTCTCGAACTTTTTTTTAAAACTTTTTTCTTTTTAACAAGGATAGCCGGTTACTGTGCAAGTGGCACAGAATGTTCCTGCCATATTCTGATATCAAACAGTTTTTTCAAATTATTGTCGTTGCTTTTGGCGTGGTGTGAAAAAAGAGTTGAACAAAAACAGGTGATTGAGTATTTTCGACAGCCATAGTTAAATAAGCAACTTGAAAATAATTTTTCTTTTCAGAAAAAAATACTTGAAAAATTTAAATTGTTTTTGTTTCACGTCCTGCAGTTTTTGAATTTTTTGATTCCAAAAACTCGCTAAAATACTCAAAGTAAACAAAGGTTACTCAAATAAAATTAAGTTTAAATTAAGCTATTGTAAACTTTTAAGGAGCGGAATAAAATTGCTCGCTCGCTTTACCTGCTCGAAATAATAGGAACAATCAAACCGGTTTTTCTCGACGGGGTTACAGTTTTTTTGATAAAAAGTTTTAAATTCGGTTCAAATCACGACTGTAAGGGCTTTATCATAATATATCACTCAAATCAGTCCAATGATTATTTTTGGTACCTGATTTTGGGTGGAAATCAAAAAGAAAAAAAGAAAAAAACTTAAGCTGCCTCACGCTGTCTCGGGTTAATATAAAACTGGGCTTCAAATGTATGTTTGACAATCAATATGTCGGGTAAAATCCGTCTCTGAAAAAGCAAAAAATGAACACAATTTTCTCAATTTTTGGTGTAACTTTAATCTATAACTTGGATAATCCAACAGCGATTTCACAGCACTGATATTCAACAGCGTGTGCGCGTTCACACTTTTGCAAAACACGGTTTTTGACAGACAAAAAACTCAATCAAGGTCGGCCAAGGCCGTTTTATGAACTAGTTTAAATAGCTAAACGAAACAGAATAGGTTTTTTTGGGGTGTTTGAACCGTGTTACTGAGCGTAAATTTATGTCCCATCAAGTTCGGCGCATATTTGAGTTGTAGAAAGGAAATGACCTAGACGGGATTCGAACCTACGCCGAACCTCTCGACACGCATTGTGTATACGATCAGCTACTGTCCCTGTATGCAACTATCGTTTAAACTTGTACTTTGGAACTATAGTTCAAACTGGTATTTACATATGCTCAGCAAAATCCTCACCCCCGAAGATGCGAGAAGTGGAGCAAGTTTAACGAGGGGTCTTACTAATTGGCTCAATAGTGTCTTAACTGTAGCGGAGCGATCGATGTTATATTTGTCGTAGTGCAAAGCAGTTACTCGACCTAAAGGGTAGTTCCAGAAAATCCAGACGAGACCACCAGTTCGTAAATCTCGGTTCGAATCGGCATGCCATTTTGAGCGCTTGTTCAAGAAAGGGACATACTCCTTCAGCCAACGCTGCTAAATTTTAATTTCGTAAGCTTGTTCTCTCATAGCGCTTTCGTTGGTCCAAACTTTCATCAAGTGCTCACCCAAGAGAAAATGGTTAGGCATTAAAGCTTCCAATTCAGTTGAATCAGGACCAACAGGTGTAACTGGACGGGCATTTAATGAGTGCTTCACTTAACGAAACGTGGTCGACAATACCTCATCCGTTAACTTGCGACTTCCAATGATTGCGTAGAAAACGGGTTTGCAACTGCGCACTAACTTTTCTCAAGACCAGCCATGATGTGGCGCGCCAGGAGAGTTATATTTTTTCTAATCCCCTGATTAAGTAACAATGCGGGAGCCTGTCTGTTTCAACTTTGTAGGCAAAGCAGAACTTTATTCTCAGCTCCAACGAAATTGGTACCGTTGTCCGACCACACATCACTTGGCGTACTACGGCGGGCGATAAATCATTCAACCCCTATGACGCAAGAGCCGTTGTCCATAGACGGAACAA